CCGGCCCCGGGCGGGCCCCCGCCGGGCGGCACCTCGGCGGGGGACATGGAGCGCTACTACCGCCTGCTCCGCGCCGCCGCGCTGCTGGAGGCCGCCGCCGGTGAGTGCCGGGCCGCCGGGGGGACAGCGGCGATCCCGGACACCCGCGGGGCAGCGGCAGCCTGGGCACCATGCGGGATGCCCCGGGTGCCCCGTCCCTCCCCGGAGCCGGTGCCGAGCGCGCTCTGCGCCCGGGCCCGCTGCCCCTCGGCGGGGCCGGCCGCTCGCGGGTGGCCGAGGGTTCGGGCTGCTGTTCTGCTGTTCTGCTGTTCAGCTGTTCAGCTGTTGTGTTATCGCTCCACGGGCGGCACGGTGGGTGCTCGGGAGGAGCCGTGTCCCCGCGTGTCCCCAGCGTGCCCGGCGGGCGCTGCCGCTGGCAGGGGATGTTCGCCCGTGCGAGCCCCGCGCCCTTCCCGCGGCCACGGCTGAGGGGCTCCCGGCGTGCGGGCTCCCGGCCACAAGCTGAGTTGGAGCTCAGCCCCGGCCGTGGCTGCCCCTTCCCGGGTGCGAAGAAGGGCAGCAGAGATGTGTGTGAGGTGTGCTCCTGTGTCCGACACCTGGACACTCTCCCGTGTCCCCTGTCCCCCGTCCCCTGTCCCGTGTCCCCTGTTCCCTGTCCCCCGTCCCCGTCCCGTATCCCCCGTCCCCTGTCCCCCCCGTCCCCGTCCCGTGTCCCGGCACTCCGCGCGGGCTGTGCCCGAGTTCCCGCTGTACCGAGCGGCTGTGCTCCCGTGCTGCCCACCGTGCCCGTGAGCAGCCGGTGCAATCCGATCCCTGATCCCGGGCCGTGGCTGCCTCGGCGCTGTTGCCTTTGATGGACAGCGATCTGCTCAGAAGTTGTGCGCAGCCCTCGCTTTTTCACCATTTTCCTGTTCTCCTGAGCGGAGCTACAGGTATTTTTGAGGAGGTCTTTCCTGAGGCAGGAAGGGAAGGGCCCTCGGGCGGCTCCAGGCTCCCCGGGGGATGCACACCCTGTCAGGAGTGAAGCAGAGCCAGCACTCCTCATCTGTGTGCAGCTGGCAGAGTGCTTGCAGCTGTGCGGGGCACAAAAGAGACACACTGACCCAAAACCAGCTTCCTGTCTAATGCCAGCTTTCTTGGCATCTTTGCAAGGCACACCTGGGGGTGCAGGAGGAATCACAGGTGAGTGCTCCACAACGTGCCACCTGCCTCCCAGGAGCTGCTGTCCGTGCCCTTCCGAGGTGGTGCCCACAGCCCCTTCTGCTCTGCCTGCCCACCCTGCTCCTTTCCCTGCACCCTGCAGTGGAGCATTTGCACTGGGCAGGGTGGTCACGGTCACTGCGCAAGGGATGCTGCTTGGATGGGTGTGATGAAATGCTCCTTGTGCTGCTCCTGGCAGAGCACCCACGCTGCTGGAGCAGGAGCTGGTGACACGGGCATGGGGACACGGGTGGTGCACGTGTGCTCTGAGCTGTGTGCTGGGGACCAGGTGAAAGCAGGCACTGGCTTTCTTCTGAGCATGAGCCTCTCTGCTAACCAGCTTTGGGCAGATGACCTTTGTGTAATGGTCATACAGAGCCAAAGATCCCCACAAAGGCACACTTGTGTGGTTGTAGCTGCAGGATCCGGACCCATGATTTGGCATCCACACAGGTTCTTAAAATAAAATGTTGAGAAAGAGACAATGTTGACTAAGGTTCTTCAAATCATGAGATTAAAAATAAATCAGAGGCTTTTTTCCCTAATTGCCAATTTCTGAGCATTCAGCCTGATCTGGGACCATGTTTTAACCATTTCCCTGCATGCAGCAATCCTGGAAACTTGGTTGTTTCTAGCAGAAGGTGATCCACCCGTACCTGCCTTAGACTGAGAAAAGGGCTGTGAACATCCCAAGGCTTTTGTGGCCATTCCCATCTGTGAAGTGGCTGGGGCTGCCCACGGCAGCCTCCAGAGGCTCTGTGCCTGCTGCAGCAGCCCCTGTGGCTGGGCACAGAGCAGTAGTAGTCTGGAGCAGGCAGTAGTACGTGGGATGTGCTTCCTCTCCCGCATCACATTGGCTACACGCACGTTAATGGTTGTCATTCACGTACCAGGACAAAGTGAAGTGACAGCAGGGCTGTGTGGGAGGGAGCAACTGAGGTGTAAAACAGGCTGAGGGAAAGAGAGAGTTTCCCAAGAGCTCTCTTTGCCTCTGAGCGAGAGGATGCCTGCAGACACAGAGTGCATGGGCTGGGGTTTAGGGCTGGGACATGGCCCTGGTAAGTGGCTGGGGCTGCCCCCGGCAGCCTCCAGAGGCTCTGTGCCTGCTGCAGCAGCCCCTGTGGCTGGGCACAGAGCAGTAGTAGTCTGGAGCAGGCAGTAGTACGTGGGATGTGCTTCCTCTCCCGCATCACATTGGCTACACGCACGTTAATGGTTGTCATTCACATACCAGGACAAAGTGAAGTGACAGCAGGGCTGTGTGGGAGGGAGCAACTGAGGTGTAAAACATGCTGAGGGAAAGAGAGAGTTTCCCAAGAGCTCTCTTTGCCTCTGAGCGAGAGGATGCCTGCAGACACAGAGTGCATGGGCTGGGGTTTAGGGCTGGGACATGGCCCTGGTTGTGCTGCTGTGGGACCTTGGTTGGCCTTGGCTTTGGCAGGTGGGGCTTGCAGGGGAGCCCTGGAGCCACAAACCACATGGGCTGGGGTTTAGGGCTGGGACATGGCCCTGGTTGTGCTGCTGTGGGACCTTGGTTGGCCTTGGCTTTGGCAGGGGAGCCACAAACCGCCACAAGCCCCTGGGACAGCCACGTGCTGCTGTGACAGTGGCTGTCTGGGGACAGGTGCTGAGCACAGCAGGGCCCTGCCCAGCCTGCTCTGCTGCCATGGCTCACCCAGCTCACCTGCCACTCGCGCTGGGAAAGGTGAGGCCAGTGGAAAACGGGTGGGCAGAGGAGCTGCAGCCTGGGGAGTGCTGCTGGCAGTGCCCAGGTGGGGCTGCCTTCTTTTCTGACTCCCTTTTTCCTCCCAGGCGATGCTGGAATTGCTTTTAGGGCCGAGATGAGTCAGGATGTCCTGGGCAGAGCTGCTCCTGGGGCCCAGCACTGTTATCCTGCTGCTCTGGGGGTGTGTGCCAGGGCTGGGGGTGACACACCAGCAATGCCCTCCCCATCTCACTTCCCATTGCACAGACCTGCTGCAGGGACAGGTTAGCTGGGCTTGGAAATGTGCTTTTGCTCAGTGGGGGAATACCAGAATTGGCCATTTCCACTTTCAGTTCGGGAAAAATTTTGTTTATTTTCCCTTGCTTTACAGTAGAGTTTCCAGGTGATGCCATTGGGGGAACCTGGCTGCATGGTTTAGTTTCCTGGCTATATCAGCTGTGAAAGAAATTGTTCCAGTGTCCTCAGTGAACTTCATTCCAGCTTCTCCAGGCAGCCAGTGAGGCCCCAGGATTTACTGCTGAAATATCTCCCAGGAGTTACTTTGTGCTGGAATTTCCCTTTGAAAAATCACTGTTTGCATGGTGCTGAACGATGATGGGAAAGTTACTGATGCCTGTATGTTTTTACTGTGTTTTGGAAGTCTTTTGTGCTGAATGGGCTCTGGTTTAGGGCTGGCTGTTTGGGCTGGGAGGATGTGTACTGGAGGCACTGAATGTGCCTTTGCCTGCACAGCTGGCAGGTGTGCCCTGGTGCTGATGTGCAAACACATGAGCTGCTGTCCTTGGCGAGGGAAGAGTGACTGAAGCTGGGAAAAGGAGAAAACTGAAGTACATTGAAGCTCCTATATGTTAGAAATGCAAGAAACTAGATTTTCTCAACTCCCACGTGGTGGTTGAATCCCAAAGAGTGGGTGTTGAGAATCTTCTATTGCATTTCTTGCAATTGACGTGAATTCATGGACGGTGGAGCTGGCTTTTATCATTCCCAATTTTTGCTTTGTTTGGTGTGATATGAGAGTGGGGTTTTTCTGATTGGACATGAAAACATCACAGCATAGCAGGAGGTGACAGCTAAGCCTCGTTGCTGCTTAATTTGCTTTTGCTTCACCTTTTCTTAGCAAAGCTTCCCCAGTTTCTCAGCTGCTAAATATAACTTGGAAGAGATTCCCTCCCCGCCACCCCCAGCCCCAAAACTCCACAGTCTCCAGCACAGGGGATCTTTTAACCTGCCCTGAACACCCTCCTCTCCTCCTTGCTGGCAGCAGGGCTCAGCCAGGGCTCCTCTGCTCGCTGCAGCTCCCACAGCTGTGTCCAAGGATGGCATTTCCATGGCTGGGGGATCTTTGGCTGGCTGCATCAGGGCTCAGCTGGGTGTGCTGGTGCCAGCCCAGTGTGAGCACGGGGCTCAGCTGGGTGTGCTGGTCACCCCAATGTGAGCACGGGGCTCAGCTGTGCTGCAGGGTGGGCACTGGGCTGCTCCCATGGGGACACTGCACCCTGGGTCAGTCACTGCCTGGGCCATGGACCTCCAAGCTGATTTAACATTTTCCATTCCTTTTCTTCCTTTCCTTTCACAGCACCCTTTTTTTGCCTTTTTCCTCCTATCCTCAGTGTGTCTAAATCTGAGCCTTTGGAAAAGGTCACTCCAGTTTTTCAGGAGCTTTCCTTTTCTTGCTGGGTGGTTTCCTAGCTGAGCACACCCCCAGGTTTGGTGGAGGGGATGTGTCTGCACTGCAGCACTCGGGCACACAAGCCCTGGAAGGCCTCGCAGGGGAAGCACAGCCCTGGGTCAGAAGAGAGAACCATCTGCTGCTGCTTCCTACGCTGTGCTGGAGCAGGTGCCTGGGGAGAAGGAAGAGAAGGAGCTTGAAAATAGAGTCAGCCATTCCTTAAAAATCGCCCCCAGTCTGAGCAAAGATAATTCAGGGAGTCCTTGAACCTGGTGAGGTGACCAAGCCATCTCTCCTGGAGATGGACTGATCCTGGTGGGGCTTTCCTGCCTTGTGCAGGACTTCAGCCCTTGCCAGGGCAATCTCCCTCAGATCAGCACATCACATCTCCCAGGAAAGCAGGCATTTCTGAGCCTGATTGCTGCCCTTTCCCTCGAGGTGAGAGCTGGCTTTGGTGCCTGCAGGCTGGGGGTGTGCAGGGGAGCCCCTGCCACAGGAGGTGTGAGCTGTCCCGGGGCTGGGGGACAGAGGCTCTTCAGCAGTCACAGCTGCTGGAGCTTTCTGCCATAAATAGTTTAATGTGTCCTTTGTGCCGCCCACTTGGCACGGGGAATGCCCACACCAGCTGGAATTCCAGGGAATTCCGTGGTTCTCCCAGGTGCCCAGGCTAGTGCAGCACCCTGCAGCAGCTGGTTCAGCAGGGCTGGCACTGCCCTTGGTGCCAGCAGGGTTGGGTCAGCAGTGCCCTTGGTGCCAGCAGTGCCCTTGGTGCCAGCAGTGCCCTTGGTGCCCTTGGTGCCAGCAGTGCCCTTGGTGCCAGCAGTGCCCTTGGTGCCCTTGGTGCCAGCAGTGCCCTTGGCACAGCCAGGGTTTGGGCAGTGTCTGGGTGGGGGGCACTTGGCAGGTGTGTCACACAGCTGCTGCCTGCGCTGCTGCACCCTCTGAAGTCTGGAAAGGAAGGAAAAGCAGAGTTTGGTAAGAGCAAAGCACTTGAGGGTCTAACTGGGTGTCAGCAGAGGGATTTGGGCTGGGGCAGGAGCTGTCCCCTCTCTGGTGTCACTGCACCCCCCGTGCCAGCCCCAGTGTCCCTCCACGGGTGGCACTGCCCAGTGTGTGCAGTGGTCCCGGGGCTGGTGATGCCCTGCACTGTGCACACCAGGAATGGGGGGCAGGCCAGGCTCGGCAGGGCTCCGTGCTGAGCCACGCTGCTTTCCCCAGGGCCTGCAGAGCCCTGGGCTCCCGGGGCTGGGCGATGCCCTGCACTGTGCACACCAGGAATGGGGGGCAGGCCAGGCTCGGCAGGGCTCCGTGCTGAGCCACGCTGCTTTCCCCAGGGCCTGGATTCCCCTCTGTGCTTTCCCTGCTTGGCTCCTTGCAGCCTCCAAACTGCACCATGGCAACAATCTCCCCCTGCAGAGGAGCCTCCAAATGTAATAACTGCAGCAGCACTTTCTGAGTGCCCGTTTTGGGGCTGTATAAAAGTGACACTACACCGTTCTGGCCATTTCCCATCCAGGTGCTGCTGGTGTTCAGTCAGGCCCTGAGGCTGGAGGTGATGCCAGCAGTGTGGGGACACTTTGTGACGTGCTCTGATGCTGTGTGGGGAGCTCGGGCTTGGTTTTGTAACAGCTGGTGATCACAAAGGCTCTTTTTGCCTTGGAAAGAAAGGAGTGGACTTTGCTGAGGGCCTGGCTTCCTGCAGCCTGTGCCAGGGAGGGGCAGGCTGGCTGTGCTGCTCACAGGGCAGAGCCCTGGGGTCTGTTCTGTCCTGTCCCAAGAGTGGCTTAAAGGAAAAGCCCCAGTTTGGCACAGAGCACCAGCTGAAGCCGTGTTGGAGGGTCTGTGGTGCCTCCTGCCCTTCACTGCCTTCCTGCAGAGGTCAATGTTTGAGGACAGAGGCCGTGCTCTGTGCAGGACTTGTTGCAGCACCCAGCTGAAGTGCCCCAGGCACAGCAGCACTCGTGGGTTTGGTGCCAGCCCTTGGTTTCCCTGTGTTTGCCTGGGAGGTGAGCCCAGTGGCCAGCCCAGAGCCAGTGCCAGGGCTGAGCTGGCAGGGGAGCAGCTCTGGTCTCTCCACAGCCAGGCCCTTGTGGTGCCCAAGGGGCAGCATCCTGCTCCTGTGTCCCGTGGATTGTCCCAGAGGATGGGCACGACCTCCCCCTGCCTCTTGTTGGGTGCTTCTCAGTGAGGCAGTGTCTTGTGAGGCTTTTAAATTAAGTGATGTTTTGTTTGAAAGGCAAACTTCCTTCCTGGTCAGCCTCAGTGAACTGGCACATCCCTCTCACAGCAGTGCAGAACCCTCCAAAATCCACATTTGCTGCCAGCCTGGGGCTCTGCTGGCTCGGAGCTCTCCAGTCACGGGCAGGTCCAGCACGTGGCCAGGCTGGATGGGGCTGCACCCTGGGGAAGGCAGGGCTGAATTTTGGGGAAAGCAGGGCTGGGGCTGCATTTTGGGGGAAGCAGGGCTGGGGCTGCACTTTGGGGGAAGCAGGGCTGCATTTTGGGGAAAGCAGGGCTGAATTTTGGGGAAGGCAGGGCTGGGGCTGAATTCTGGGGAAAGCAGGGCTGGGGCTGCATTTGGGGAAGGCAGGGCTGCACTTTGGGGAAACCAGGCCTGGGGCTGGACTTTTGGGGAAGCAGGGCTGAATTTTGGGGAAGGCAGGGCTGGCAGGGTGGGCTTTTGTCTCGTATTTTCAATGACACGTTTGGTGTCATCTGGTTCAGGTGTGGGAGCTCATTAAGTTGTTAAATGTGAATTTCATCAGTATGAAACCATTGACCTGGTGAAAAAAGAAATCAATAAATAGAGAAGGAATCTCTTGCTGCTGCTTGTCCTCAAGTTGGGTGAAGCAGTTGAATGAGAGACAAATATTTGAAATATCTTTGCAAGACAAACTTCTTTCTCACCAAGACCAGTTCTAGGGCCTGTTAAAATCAGGAATGTTTCTGTAGATGCCAGTGGGACTGGGGCTCCATCCTCAACAACAAAAATGCCATTTTTATCTGCAGGAGGGAAGGCCAGCAGTGTGTGTGCCTGCAAGGGCAGAGAGCCCCACACATCTGGGCTGCTGTGCTGCAGCACCCTGCAGCCAATGCAGGCCTGAAAAACCTTCACATAAAGTAGAAGTGACCAGAAAGCTTTGAAAAAAGGGGAAATAGAATAAATATTGATTATTCTGGAGTGTGCTGAAGCATGCAGCCTGTCTGATTTAAAACAGCCAGAAGATTATTCCCCAGGACCAGCTCTGTGAAATAATCAGTGTTTACAATTTGATTATCAGAAGGCACAAGGACTTTAATCTGTGTAGATGTGCTCCAAAACGTTTATTTGCAGGAACAAGGATGTTTGACTTGTAGCTGTCATTCCATTTATAGATAATCCAGAAAAATGTTTGCCAGCTTTAAGCTCCTCTTTGTGTTTAGTCAGTGTGGTCTTTGTTTCCTTCTCCCAGGGAAAGGTAAGGCTGTGTGTGTTGTTCTGCTGTGCTTCACTGCCTCTGAAATGATCATGGTGCTAAGTATGGTATTGAGCCAGCCTTGCCACGATTTAATTAGGAAGAATCTAATAACTGAACATAAGAACAACAGCCTCTCCACTGCCTGTGGCCCCATGCCAGGTGAAAGCGTGGCTTCAGAAGCTTATTTGTCCAAAATGAAAGCCTGTGACAGCCTGAAAGCCCAGCCTAGCTCCCAGAGCAGCAGCTTGGAGGCTGCAGTTCCCAAACCTCAGCCCATTGCCCTGCCAGGGCTGGGGAGCACTGCGAGACTGGGACACAGGGATTGCTGGCTCCAAAATACAAAATGTACATTGGCTGTGGCTCCAAAATATAAAATGTACATTGGCTGTGGCTCCAAAATATAAAATGTACATTGGCTGTGGCCCGGTGAGGGGAGGGCAGTGCTCCCTTGGTGCAATTATACTTTTGTTTCTGACGTGTGGCTTTCACCCTGTTAGAGTCATTAGAAATAGAAATAACATCTCTGAGATCCACGTGTCCTTTGTCACAGTTTCATGTATAGCTTAGGGGAGTTCATTTCCACCTTTGGATTAGCACGTTGATAAATGTGTCTGCTTTGGATTTGTGCTTGATTTTGATTGCTGCTTTTCCCTTTCTCCAGAAACTGCAGTGCCCATCTGTGCAAAGGACATCAGTGATGATCTGATGAAAGAGTTTGCTTTTCTGTCTGGTGAGTAGGAGACCATCTTCAGGGTCTCTCTGTGTCCCTGTGGTAATTAAATACTGCAGACAAACTTCTCTGCTGTTTGTCAGGGTGATACTTCACACAGATACCCACCAGGTATCCAGTGCCACTGGAACTGCTGTTTATAAAACATGGAGGCAGTTTGAAAAGCAGGTTGGGTTTCTGTCCCGTGCCACACTGTAAAACATTCTGTACAATACTCCCAGCACTCGGGGCATGCACAAGCACTCTGCTGTGAGATGTATCTCTGGAGGTTCCAGGCCAGTGTTTGCCCCTGTATTCCTGATTTCCTCTGCTGTCCTGTGTCAGCACACTCAGTAAGTGAAGGAAGTGCCTGGTTCTTGATGCTTTTGTTTCCAGCTCCTGCCCTTTGTGTTGTGCTGGACTCAGAGCAGATGTGCCTTTCTTTGGCCCTTCTGGGCGTGTGAAAGCCCCTGTGGCAGTGTGTGCCCGGGCTGCCTGGTGCCCGGGCTGTGCTGTGCCCTCCTCAGCAGCAGGGCAGGGCAGGGCAGCATCCCTGTGTGTTTTGCAGGTGGAAGGGGCAAGGACAAGGCTTGGATCATCACCCTGCCCGACAATGCTGGCTTCAACCAGGTGCCTGAGGAGAGCGTGGCCAGGGTCCTGACCTACCTGACCTCGGTGCCAAGGTGGGGCTGGGGTGGGCAGGGGGGTCCTGGGCAGGGGCTGCAGGGCACAGCCACCTGCGGGGTGAGGGGCTCCTTGGGGGGATAGAATATCAGAAAATAAAGATAAATCAGAAAGTGACCTCACCCCTGAGGAGCTGCAGCTGGGCCAAGTACCAAAGATTAGGAGCAGGCCTGGCTTTAACAGGCCAGAGCTGTGAGCAGGGAGAAGAAGAGGGCTGTAAAAGAGTGGGTTGGGTGCTTGAGAGGGAACTGGAGCCAGCTGGCTGCTTGGTGAGGAACAGAGTCAGTGCTCTGAGGAGCTGCCCACCAGAAACACCAAGAAGCTGTGAATCTTCTGTGGTAAGGACACAACAGTATGGAGCTTCTGCTATATGATAACAGCCCTCCTTCAGCTCTCAGAGCCCCACAGTGCCCAGGTGAGGTGCTCTGTGTGCCAGGAGCTGCAGAGGAGGCAGTGGACATCATCCCTGTGACCTGTCAGCTGGAATGTACCACACGTTTACTTGATTAAGTTTCTAATTAACAAGCTTTCCTCAAGCTTTGGCATGTGTCACTGCTGAAATATACCATGGCGCTGCAAAATAATATTTTGACGTGTACAAATAGAGAGTCACTGCTGTGGAAAAAGAGAAATGAAACCAGAGGAAGAGGCTAATTACAGAAGGAAGCCTTTGGGGTGCCCGTGACAGGTGATGGCTCAGCAGAGAGCAGCAGCTCCCACTGCCTGTGTGGCAGGAAAGCTGCTGACAGCCTGCCTGTGCCTCACTGGGCTGGAGGCTTAGATTAATGGCCCTCCTAATTCTTGCTGCTGAGCCTGGTGACTCAGTTACCTGGAATCCTTAATTTCCTTGAATAATGCCTGTTTTGGCAAATTCCTTCCTGCAGGGAGAGCAGGCTGGCAGCAGCTGGAGGGGAGCTGTCCATCAGAGCTGCTTTGGCACAAGTGTGCAGGGTTTAGGCACCTCTGTTCAAAAACACAAAAAAGGAGCCTCTGGTTGCTCTGTCCTGTTTTTGGTGGGCTCTGAGGTTCTGAGGGCTCCTGGCCCAGCAGGGGCAGGACCTGCCAGGCGTTGTTCATCCTGTGCAGGCAGCCCTGCTCTGTGCAGCTGCACTTCCCAGCTCTGGCTGGTCTCTCCGAGGCTTCTCGTTGCACCTGAGTGTAAACACCCTGGCATTAGCATGATGAGCAGTCCTGCTGTCCCTGTAATCGGTCAAACTCAATCCAGAAACTAATGAGAGCTGCGAGCTTGCTGGTGATTCATGTTCAGCATGTTTCCAGTAAAACCACTTTAATCGTCCTGCCACCGTGCCAGCCTGCCCCAGTGTCTGAGCACCCCAGAAACGTGTGCCCCCTGGCACCTTGGAGCTGCAGGGCTCGGGGGGGCAGGCACAGCATCGCCCGGCTGGGGGTGGCAGTCTGTGCCAGCTCTGTGTGCACATCCTGGGATTGGAGCTCACACTTTGGCCAGAAAGTCCCTAAAGGAGGTAAATATTTACCTGCCAGAGGTACTTCATTTCCTCCAATATCAGGGCCAGGTGTGGGTGCAGCACCTGCTTGGCTGTGGGTGTGCAGGGGAGATCAAAACCAGCACCATGCAAAGGAGCTGCACGGTGTCCTACCTGTCCCAGCCTGAGAAAACCCCCTGGGTGTCAGCCTGCTGCCACCTGGGCAGGCTGAATGGTCTCTGTAGTATTTTGGGAAGCTGAATTTCATCAGGCATTCTTCTCCTGGAAATAGTTGTTAGATGAAGGGGATGGATGCTGAAATCTCCTCCTGAGCCCTCCAGGTGGGTGCATTCATGGCAGAGCCAGGAGGAAGGTGAGTCTGTAGGCAAGGGAATTTTTAGTATTCCTGGAACTGCTGCAGGCAGGAGGCAGCTGCAGGAAGTGCTTGTGTGGATGAGCTGGGAGGGAAAATAAGTAATAGGTGCCCACTTTCTATTCTGTGCACATCCAGCTCAAAACGCTGCCTGCCTTCAGGCTGGCTGTGCTGAGCAGCACCTGCAGTGGCTGCTGGAGGCAGGGACGTGTGACTGATCCTGCTTCTGCAGAAAAGAGACCTGAGGAGTGAGAAGGCAGCACTTTATCCAGGCTTGGGTTGAGGGCTGTGGCAGTGTGGTCTTTACAGCACATAGAAATCTTTTCTCTAGCCTGAAAGAATTTGTCTCTTCCAAGTTAAGCCAGAATTCCAGTAGAAGCTTCAATTGATTTTTTTAAAGTCAGTTATGATATCTGTAAGATTGTTATTACAAAAAGCTAATTTAATTACTGTTAGAGTAAAAGTTGAAAACTGAAGAAATCCCTCTGTGTGTGGCATTGGTGTGGTACTGCCTTCCATACTGTGTGCAGTTCAAAGGGATGTGAAGGGCCTTGAGCTGTGCAGAGGGAGCAGCTCTGGTGAGAGGGCTGCAGGAACGTGCTGTGAGGAGCAGCTGAGGCCCCTGGGCTCCTCCTGTGTGGAGAGGGGGCTCAGGGGTGCCCCTGCTCTCTGAGCTTCCTGGGGATGGCGTGGGCTGGGCTCTGACCCCTGGCAGCCCGGGACAGGACAGGTGGGAATGGTTCAGACTGTCAGGGCAGGTTTAGAACAGGCTGTAGGAAGCATTTGTCTGCTGAGGGGTGTCCAACAGCAGAGCAGGTTCCCTGAGATGTCACTGGTTCCCCAGGCTGTCTGTTCAGGGGGCATTTGGACAATGCCCTCAACAGCATCTGCTGGCTTTTGGTCAGCCTGAAATGCCCAGACACTGCACAGGTTAACTGTGGGTCCCCTCCTGCTGAAACAGCACATCCTGTTCTGTCCTTTCTGTCCTTTCTGCGACTCTCCAGCTGTTCAGATGAGCTGTGCCTGTCTCCTTTAGGCTGGGAGGGGGGTCCAGGGTGGCTCAGGGCCGTGACTGAGGGCACAGAGCAGTGGGCAGGGCAGGGTGCTGCTGCCTATAAATATCTCAGGGTTTCAGTGCTGGGCAGGTCTGGCTGCGTGCTCTGATCCCCCCAGCAGCAAGAGTCTCTCTGTGCTGTGCTCACTCTCACAGCTGCAGACTCCAGGGTCCAATTTCAAGTCCTGCAAAACATCCCAGGTCTTTATTTTTAGTCTGCATCCAAAAGTGACCAGAAACACCCAGAGAGGAGCAATCCTTGCCCTGGTTATCTGTCTGCATCTTCCTGCTGCTGGATGCAAGCAAAGAGCCCTCAGAGCCCTGGTGGAAAGCATTGATTTATTTTTATTGTCAGTCTAAAAGGGACATCACGGGCCTGGAAATCTGATAAACCTGCAAGGCCTGGCTTGCAAATAGTCACAGACTTTCTCCACTGGCCTAGAATAAATGACAAATTTCCCACAGTAGGTGTCAGGGTGTCACACTGCTGGGAACTTTCCTCTTTGCTTCTGGAAGGGAACTGATAAAAGTGCATTGGCATGCTCAGAGGCTGCTCTGTGAGCATAACCTCGTCCTGAGTTAATGACTCCAGCTTTGCTTAACTGGCACTGCACCACAGTCTGGCTGCCTTTTCTAAATCACTTGGATTCTGGAGGTTTTCTTCAGGTTTTATTGTGATTACAGCAGTTCTGTGTAAACACAGTCTATTTTTTTCAATTGCAGACCCTTGGGAAACACCAAGGGAGTTGGGAATTGTTCTTTATAGCTCAGAGACATACCTTGAAAAATTTTAGAGTGTGCTGAAAAACCCAAGGGTTTTATTTTTGCCTCAAACCAAAGGATGCTTGGGCCTGCTCCCACCCACCTGGGTGACTTAGCTCGTGGTGGGGGTGAACAGAGCTAACAGAAACCTGCAGAGTTGTCTCACATTGCCTAAACCATTCTAAGCAAATAAAGGTTTTGGCTGAAAAGTCAGACTCAGCATGCTCACAGCCTGAGACTTTATTACATGTGTTCTGTCTGTGACCCACATGTAAAATTTGATGTTCATTTTCTCTGCTCCTTACTTCTACGCTTCAGAGCCACTGAATGAATTCATGTGAAACCTTTGCACTCTGGGTGTGAGTTAGAGCTCCATAAGATGTGTCACAGGATGGCTGGGTGCCTCTCCATGCCTTCAGTCAGAGGGAATTGCTCTTTATCCCTCTGAGCACCACTGCTAACTCCTGTTCAATGTGTTTGTCAGAGTTGTGGCTGCCACAGAGCACAGCAGCGGGGTGTGCACTGACTGAAAGCTCCTGCCCTGCCTGGGTGTCCCCTCTGCTGCCTCCTGCCCTGCCTGGGTGTCACCTCTGGTGCCTCCTGCCCTGCCTGGGTGTCCCCTCTGCTGCCTCCTGCCCTGCCTGGGTGTCCCCTCTGGTGCCTCCTGCCCTGCCTGGGTGTCCCCTCTGCTGCCTCCTGCCCTGCCTTGGTGTCCCCTCTGGTGCCTCCTGCCAGAACAAGGCAGGAGTCACTGCCTGGCTGCTCTAACCTGGGCAGGAGGGCAGGGGGGTCGTGGGGCATCACTGGGGGAGCCTGCTGGCCAGGGCACAGCTGCTCCTCAAGGCCCCTTTGGGTTCCCAGAGCACTCTGGTGTCACCACGTCACACAGAGTCACAGCTGGGGACAGTCAGGATCACAGGAACTCTGGGCTGGGGGGAGCTGTGGAGGTCACAGAATGGCCTGGGGTGGGAAGGGATCTTGAAGATCATCCAGTCCTGCCCCCCAGCAGAGCAGCTTCACCTGCAGCAGGTTGTGCTGGAAGATCTGGAGCTATGAACAGCCCCAGGTGGGTTTTTAAAATATCCAGAGAAGGAGATTTCCCAATCTGTCTTGGCAGTGTGTCCCAGGGCGCTGCCACCCTCAGGACAAAGACATTTTTCCTCATGTTCAGATGGAATTCCCTGTGCTTCAGTTTGTGCCTGTTGCCCCTTGTTCTGTTGCTAAGTGCCTCTGGAAAGAGTTTGGGTGTTCAGGAAGATTTTTTCAAAGGGAATTTCAGGAACTGCAGAAATACTAAAATGTGGTTTGCATTCCAGGTTCTTGGATTTGGGGTTCTTTTGGGAACAGTCACTTTTCTTGGAATGTTATCTGGTTATTGGTGTTTCTTATCTTGCAGTCAGCATGAGTCTGACACTAAATTTATCCTGATCCTGGATAGAAGACTGGACACGTGGACATCAGTCAAAACAACTCTCCAAAAGATAGCAGTAAGTCCTCTTCAATGCTGATTGCTTTCAGTGCACTGTCACCCTGCCTTTGTGTGTCTCCTTCAGAAAACACTGGGGAGCAGAGCAATGATGCTCCTGCTGCCTCTCTAGGCAGCAGTTTGCTTTATGGCCCTGTCATTAATTTGAGTGTTAAATGAGCTGTTTGTGTGTTAATTTGCTTGCTTGATCTATTTCCTGGGTTTTATACTCTTTTGCACTGGTTCAAATGTGTTTTGTGCTATGTTCTCTGCTTTTGATGGGTGGAAAATTTTGCTCCATATATGTTCGTTCTTGACACTGGTTATTAATTTATTTTACCTAATTGTTGGTGACTGAAAGTTTTAGGTTCTTTAAACAGGCTTCACAAGGATTTGAATGTGGGCATGGATGGGAAAATCCATTTCAAAGTGTGTGGATGCATTAATGTGCTTGAAATGACCTGGTGCACACATGCCTGGCAGCACTGGCAGATGCTGCTCTGAGCACAGCTCACAGGGGCTGCTTGTGCAATTCTGCTTGCTCTGTGTCTGGGAACCTGGGCCTGGGCTCTCAGCAGTGTGCAGCTGAAGAAAAGTCACATTTCTGGGTGCAGGGGGGTAGGAGCTCCCAGAGAAATCCTTTCCCAAGCACACCATGCCATGGGGGTGGATGGATTATTGTTGTGCTTGTTTCTGCTCAGTCATGGAGTGGTTAATGTCATCAGTCCATCTGAGGAAGGATGGAGTGAAGGGAATGCACTGAGACACAAAATGCTTACCTGGTTCTGGTAAAGTCAGTATTTTAAATGGTTAATCTGCTACAGCTGAACTTGCTGTTAAAGACACCTGGCAGTTTGCTGGGCAGCATCCCTTAGGAGGCAGAGGGCTCCCTTTTGGCAGGGTGAATGAGATCCCACCGAGAGGATTTTCTGTTCTGTTTTTCTGAATGTTAGAAACTGAACCTGCAGGTGTGGTTGCCATACCACTAGAGAAGAAGCAGCATTTAGAAAGTGGTTCTTTAAAGTGATCATCATCAAGACTCAGTTCTGCTGCCAGCGTTTGAACAGGTGCTAATACCAAGAGCATCCTTTAAGGGTGAGGTACTTGCTTTGCATAGTCTGGAAGTGTCAAATGGCAAAAAATCCTGTCCTAATTTGTAGCTTCTACAAAAGTGGCATTCGTTTTGTGTTTCATAAGAAAATTTAATTATTTGAGCACATCCCTGTTAGTGCTGGGTGTCCACGTGGAGAGGTGACTTTGCCTGCAGTGTCAGGGCTGGCCATGCAAAGAATGGGAGGAGCTCTGTGCAAAGGGGGATGCAGGAAACCCGTGTCCATTGAGACTTGGGAATACTGTCTTAAAAACAGTCAGGTCCTAAATGGCTGTCTCTGTGTCCAGAAGGTGTAAGGACAAAAATTTAAATCTTGATTTTTTCCCAGTCACGCATCATAAACCCTGATGCAATTAAAAAAAAAATATATATTTTTCTGATCTTTGTACAGTTTTGGAGTAAAGGAGTGCCATGAAGCTGAATTTAAAACACAGACTGTGTCCTATTTTTTCCAGCATATGTATATGCAATTGCAGCTCTGCGGTTGTGCATCTGATCTTGAAAATTTTTCTATCACACTGTACAGATTTTTGTTTTAACTCTTTATGTGTGCCTCTAATTGCCTGGGCCAACCAGGCTAGCAGTGCTGTGGGAAGTGATGCCGGGGCAAGCCTCGGGTTGTGGCCGCAGCATCTTTGCTTGGCTCACCCCCTGAGCCCCGAGCAGCCTGGAAAGGCACCTTGGGGATCACGGCGGGGGGAGAGGGAAGGGCGAGAGCTGCGAGCCGGGAGCCCCGTCCTCGCAGCAGAGAGCGTCTGCAGGAGGATTTTGGGCATTCCACCTTAAAAGCGAAGCCGGCGCTGGGAGGAGAGCGGGGCTGCCAGCCGGGAGCCGGGAGCCGGCAGGGCTGCTGCCTGCCCGAACCGAACCGAGCCGAGCCGAGCCGAACCAAAGAGCTGCGGGCCGGCCCCGGGCAGCGGGGCGAGCGGGGCAGCGCGCTCCGCAGCATCCCCGCATCCCCGCAGCATCCCCGCATCATCCCTGCATCCCGCGGCATCCCTGCATCCCTGAATCCCCGCGGCAACCTCCACAGCATCCCTGCATCCCGCAGCATCCCTGCATCCCGCAGCGTCCCCGCAGCCCCGGGCATGGCGGAGGCGGGCCCGCGGCGGGGCGGGCGGCCCGCCCGGGATGCGGTAAGGCTCCGGGCCCGCCGTGCTGCGGGAACCGGCACGGGCCCGGGGGAGGCGGCGGCGCGGCCCGCAGCGCTCGGGCTCCGGCGGCGCGGGGGGAGTCAGGGCATCCTCCGTGCGGGAGCGGCCGGGCGCTGGCACCGCTGGTACCGCTGGTACTGCCGGGTATCGCTGGTACTGTCAGGTACTGCTGGTACTGCCGGGTATCGCCGGGTATCTCTAGTACAGCTGGGTGTCGCTGGGTATCATTGGGTGTCACTGGTACTGTCAGGTACTGCTGGTACTGTCAGGTACTGCTGGTGCTGCTGGGTGTCGCTGGGTATCATTGGGTATCACTGGTACTGCTGGTACTGTCAGGTACTGCTGGTGCTGCTGGGTGTCGCTGGTACTGTCGGTCCCGCAGCGTCCCCGCAGCCCCGGGCATGGCGGAGGCGGGCCCGCGGCGGGGCGGGCGGCCCGCCCGGGATGCGGTAAGGCTCCGGGCCCGCCGTGCTGCGGGAACCGGCACGGGCCCGGGGGAGGCGGCGGCGCGGCCCGCAGCGCTCGGGCTCCGGCGGCGCGGGGGGAGTCAGGGCATCCTCCGTGCGGGAGCGGCCGGGCGCTGGCACCGCTGGTACCGCTGGTACTGCCGGGTATCGCTGGTACTGTCAGGTACTGCTGGTACTGCCGGGTATCGCCGGGTATCTCTAGTACAGCTGGGTGTCGCTGGGTATCATTGGGTGTCACTGGTACTGTCAGGTACTGCTGGTACTGCCGGGTATCGCTGGTACAGCTGGGTATCGCCAGGTACTGCTGGTACTGTCAGGTACTGCTGGTGCTGCTGGGTGTCGCTGGTACTGTCGGGTGCCGCTGGCCATTGCTGGGTATCACTGGGAATCACTGGGTACTGCCAGCACCGCTGGGTATCAATGGGTATCACCGGGTATCGCTGGGTGTCAGTGGCTATCACTGGATACCCCAGGTATCAGCAGGTATCACTGGGTATCAGCAGGTACCCCAGGTATGAGCGGGTGCCCCGGTACCCCTGGTATCAGTGGGTATCAGCGGGTGCCCTGCTGCCCACAGCGCTGGGTATTAGAGGGTACCCCTGGTATCAGTGGGTGCCCCGGTACCCCTGGTATCACTGGGTATCACTGGGTGTCCCGGTACCCCTGGTATCACTGGGTATCAGTGGGTGCCCCGGTGCCTGCAGCACTAGGTATCAGTGGGTACCCCCGGGTATCACTGGGTGCCCCGGTGCCCTCAGAGTTGGGTGTCAGTGGGTATCACTGGGTAGCAGCAGGTGCCCTGATACCCCGGGTGTCACTGGGTATCCCTGGGTGCCCCGGGTATCCCTGGGTGCCCCGGTACCCCTGGTATCAGTGGGTGTCACTGGGTGCCCCGGGTGTCACTGGGTATCCCTGGGTGCCCCGGGTATCCCTGGGTGCCCCGGTACCCCTGGTATCAGTGGGTGTCACTGGGTGCCCCGGGTGTCACTGGGTATCCCTGGGTGCCCCGGGTATCCCTGGGTGCCCCGGTACCCCTGGTATCAGTGGGTGTCACTGGGTGCCCCGGGTGTCACTGGGTATCCCTGGGTGCCCCGGGTATCCCTGTATCAGTGGGTGTCACTGGGTGCCCCGGGTGTCACTGGGTATCCCTGGGTGCCCCGGGTATCCCTGGGTGCCCCGGTACCCCTGGTATCAGTGGGTGTCACTGGGTGCCCCGGGTGTCACTGGGTATCCCTGGGTGCCCCGGTGCCCGCGCGCTGCCCGCTCTGTGCCCGCAGCAGCGGCTGTACCATTACCCCGTGGGAAGGACAGCCCTGCACGGACCCCAGCGATGCCGACAGCATCTTTGGTTAATTGGGTTAATTAGGTTAACTATGCAGCCGGCCAAAGCAGAGGTAGCAGAGCGCTCGGAGTTTGGTTCTGGCTCCGGGGGAAGTTCAAGGCTCAGATTTTGTGCAGGATTTTCCTTTAAGGGGCAGCAGAAAGTCATTCAGCACCTGTATCAGGACTCCTGGCCTCAGTGCTCAGAAGGAAACTTACTGGCAGATACTACTTTGTTTTAAAATTTATTTGATTTTTTTATTTATTGATCTCCAACCTCATGGATGCCCCAGTGAACTGCAGGGAAGAATAGTGTCTGAAAACAGAGTTCCTAAAATTGGTGGAAATGTTAAAGTCACACTAAATGTGTCAGAACGAGATGCTCAGTATGGGGCAGTAACTGGGGTGCTCTCAGTGCATGTCCTTTCTTGTGTTTCTTAGCCCAGTGTGTCTGTATTGATTAAGGCAGGGCTGTCTGGGTGGTTAGAGTTAAATGTGCATTAAAAAGCTCTGACCTGGCCTTGGGGTACCCGTGTGTGTCCTGGGAAGGGCAGGGTGCTGAGCAGGGCTGTGCTGGGTGGACAGTGAGCAGTAGTGAGGGAGCTGGTGTAATGCCTGATTTAGGGGAGCTGTGCTGGGAGTTTTCTGCCTTTCCTGCTGTCCTGCAGAGGGCACAGGCTCCAGAGGGCTCTTTAGGTGTTTTGTTACATAACCCCAGGCTTACCAAGTGCACCGGATTCTTTTCAGTCTTACAAATGGTGAGATAAAGCATGAGGCACGATTGAGGATCCTTTTGTCTTTGCTTTCTGTAATACATTGTGGGAAAGGGTTTTTTGCAGCAGTGCCTTCAGTATCATTAGAGTTCAGTTTTTAGGAAACTTATCTACACTTCAGCCCTGAGAAAAACTGAAATTGTTACAATAATTAAAAAATATACAATCCCTACAGGAATGTTATGTTGAGGATTTACTGGTCTATGTGGGGTTTTTTTCCTAACATTTCATCCTTTCCCTTAAGTCTCTAAGAGGGCACAGGACACAGCTTGTTGGTGTCTGTCTTTCTACAAGCTTATTTCTTGTCTTGTTCATTTTTTCCCAAGCTTGGAATACATTAGGTGTCATTTGCAAAGCTGTGTTTCCTGCTTTGTAGCTGCTCGTAAGTGCTGACCTTGATCCTGTACGTGTAAGATCAGCTGAAAAATCCCCAAATGCTTTCTAAACTGAGTGGAAATCCAATCACCTGCCCTGGAAACTCAGCTCTTTGAGGAGAAATACCAAGGAGCAGGAGGGACACAGTGGTGTGTCCCTGGGGTGGAGGGGGCAGTGCTGCTCTCCTGGTGTGTGTGCTGTGGGTCACACTGGTATCCTGCAGCCAGAGGTGCCAGGGGTGAAGGATGGCAGTGCTGCTCTCCTGGTGTGTGTGCTGTGGGTCACACTGGCATCCTGCAGCCAGAGGTGCCCGGGGCATCCCTGCTGTTGTATTTGTGGGGTTCCCAGATGAAGGAGAGAATGATGAATCTGACTCCATGTTTTCAGAAGGCTAATTTATTATTTTATGTACTATATTATATTAAAGAATACTATACTAAACTACACTAAAGAATACAGAAAGGATACTTACAGAAGGCTAAAAGATACTAATGAAAAACTCTTGATTCTCTCCAAAGCCTTGACACAGCTTGGCCTTGATTGGCTATTAAGTCAAAATAATTCACATGAACCCAATGAAGCAATCACCTGTTGGATAAACAATCTCCAAACACATTCCAAAGCGGCACAACAGGAGAAGCAAATGAGATAAGATTGTTTTCCTTTTTCTCTGAGGCTTCTCAGCTTCCCAGGAGAAGAATCCTGGGCGAAGGGATTTTTCAGGAACTCTGACTGTGGCGCCTGCCCTGGGCCAGGCAGCTCCCAGTGGTCCCTGTCAGCTGGGCTTGTGCCCTGCCTGCTGCTGCCCCTCCCTGCAGCTTTCCTCTCCTGCCCAGGGCTCCCAGGGGCTGGCATTCAAAGCCTGCAGGTTCCCCATGGGGAGCTGGGGTTGGACACCCAGGCTCTTCCTCCGGGAGGTTGCTCTGCCCCCAGAGGGTGCCTGTTAAACAGGGCTTGAAGGACAAAGGCCAAAGCTCCAAGTGCCAGCAGGGCTGGAGGGCACAGGGGATGAAGGGGAGCAATGATGTCAGACCGAGGGAGGGTGAACTTCTGGCTGGTTGTTCCCAAAGACATTCCTGCAGCATTTTTCAGGAGAGGGTCGAGGCAGGAGCCTGGAGCTCCCAGAGGAGGCATTATGTGCTGGCCAGTGCTGGAGAGGAGCACAGCGCCCAGGGCCTGCAGCCAGCACCAGTCTCTCTGTTATTTATGGTTTGCTGTTGTTTCCAACGCCAAGTCCTTGTCCCTGGCACCACTCTTGTTGACTTCCAAAGGGTATGAGTTTGTCATTTCATTCACAATCCTTTTTTTTTTTTTTTTCCTACTTGTACTTAAAATAACAGCAGATCAATATATTGGATTTCTGTGGCTTATATGATCCTAAAAGCCACTGTCCATTTCTGAGGGAAGCTGTGGGCAGTGGGAGCCACAGCCTTCCCTTCCTGCCCAAGAAAACAGAGCAAATGAGTGACAGTGCAGCTCGGGGTGGCAGACCTCAGTGTGAATCAGGCCTGTTTAAAGAGCACTAAAGGATGTTTGTGGGAGTGATCTTTGTTTGGAAGGCACAGGGAGGTGCCCTGCAGGGCACAGCACCCAAACATGTTCACTATTCTCACCCTTGCTACAGAGGTTACTATCATGTTTCATGGAGGAGGATGATATAAGGAGAGAAATGTGACCTGGCCTGGCAGGATCTCAGAGCAAATCATGTCTTAATTAACTCAAGTCTTTGCATCATGCGCTCATCCATAATTTAATGAAACAACTTCTACTTTCTTAAAAATTCTTTTTCATTCTCAAGAACCCTTTTCACAGATCTGTTTAAAAATGCACCTGCCAACCATATGCTTGCAAAAAGGCTCCAGCAGTGTAGACAGGAAATTCCAAATTCTTGCCACAAATTAAATGTTGCCTGGTAATTACCAAGGACAAGGCGAGTGTGCTTCATGCAGTTATGGGATGATTAGCAAGTTTGGCAATAAATTTTGCTTCCTCAGTCTGTCACTCCTCTCAGTGTTCCATCCCTCTGTTCCCTGCTAAGTTGTAATTTCACTCCCCGAGTTGTAATGATGAGCAGTATCTGTATTGTTAAAGTTTATAACAATGTGTCTCGGAGGAGCCCTGCTGCAGCCACATCCCAAACCTCTGCACCTCCCTCCTGGTCTGAAAATGAGAAAACCCCCAGAGCAGAGTGATTCCCGCTGCTTCCAGTGCACTGGGAGCTGCCACGTGCCCAGGTGACTGTGTCTGTGTTCCCTTGCAGGCCTCCTTCCCAGGGAACCTGCACCTGGTGATGGTTCTGCGGCCCACGGGGTTCTTCCAGCGCACCTTCACCGACATCGGCTTCCGCTTCAGCCAGGAGGATTTCCTGCTCAAGCTACCGGTGCGGACACTGCCCCGCGCTGCTGGTCTCACATGGATCCTCTGCAGCACTCCAGAGCAGGCTGGGGGGGCTCAGCCCCTCCGGAGCCAGGCTGGGGGAGCTGGGGTGCCCACCTGGACAGGAGCAGCTCCAGGGAGAGCTCAGAGCCCTGCCAGGACCTGGAGAGGCTCCAGGAGAGCTGCAGAGGGACTGGGGACAAGAGCCTAGATAGACAGGACACAGGGAATGGCTCCCTCTGGAAAATGATAGATATAGATTAGATATTAGGGATAAATTCTTCCCAGGGAGGGTGGGCAGCCCTGGCACAGGTGCCCAGAGCAGCCCTGGCTGCCCCATCCCTGGAGTTTCCAAGGCCAGGTTGGGCAGGGCTTGGAGCAGCCTGGGTGGGACAGTGGAAGTGTCCCTGCCCATGGGAGTGGGGCTGGAAACTTCATCATCCTTCCAACCCAAAGCATTCTATGTGAAGAGTAGCCAGGAGTTTGTTTAATGTCTGAAAAGTCAGAAGACTTGTCTGGTGGAGCTTTTCCTATGGATTTTCCCATGTTCATCTAAGTGTAGACACCATAGCAGCATCGTGGTTGTTCCTAAAATAGCAACTGAAATGAGTTTATGTTCTCAACTGAGAATTTCCAGACTTTTAAACCACCTTGATTGTAGGACATAATAAGAATAATTAAGAGAAGAAAAGTACGTTTATAGAATCTAAGGTTGATGCTGTTACAAACACAGAGAACAAATTAATACTTTCCTTTAGGAAATAGCAAATTTTCACAAACTTTACATTTTTCACTCTAAAATGGCAGTTCTTTGCACAATTTTGAGCATTCCTTACACATCCCATGGCAGATCAAGACACACACACAAAAAAAAAAATCATGAGTACACATTTATGTGAAATTGGTAAGTTATAATTCATAACTTATTAAAATGTATGTGTTCTTTCCAGCTTACTGGTGATGCCTTGCTTAAACCTGCCTCACTTTGCATTCAGCCCTGTTCTGCAGCATCTCACTGTGCCCTGCATTTGGGAGAGGGAGCACCTGGAGATGAGGGCTGGCTCACCACGGTCAGACCAGACAAAAGCTGTGCTAGCCATGAGTGCAGGGGGAGGCCGTGCTCCAGGGCAGGATGCAGAGCACATGGAGGGGCAGCAGTGGGCAGGAGGGCGCTCCCAGCTGACAGGGCTCTCTCTCTGTGTGTGTGTGTGTGCAGGTGGTGATGCTGAGCTCGGTCAGTGACCTGCTGACCTACATCGAGGAGCAGCAGCTGACCCCCGAGCTCGGGGGCACGCTGGAGTACTGCCACAGCGAGTGGGTCATCTTCAGGACGGTGAGTGGGCTGCCACGGCCAGCTGGGGCTCCGGGGAGGTTGGCAGTCAGGCACCGAGCCCTGGAAGGAGCCACTGCACCTCCCAGCCACACCTGCAGAGGAGCCACGGCGTGCTCAGACCAAGGCTTTGGTGGGTTTGCAGGATGATTGGCTCCCTCAGGCTCCTATTGAAACTGCTCCCAAAAGATCTGTCTTTTAAATCTTTATTAGAATTCCCTTAATGGGACATACCAAATAGGCTTTTTTGTTAATAACGGTCGCTTAATGTGATTAATATCAGAACTGTGTTTGGGAAGTGGGGTAATGCCTACTGCACACTGACCAAATGCAGGGAATTCAGAAAATTTCCAGTTGGGTTTGTTTCTTTCCCTTTGCAAGAACTTTCACAGTGCCAGAGTGAGGAGTTGTACCTTGCTGAGCACTCGGTTTTCCCGGGGATGCTGTGTCCAGAGGAGTGGCAGGTTGGATTCCCAGTGGGATGTTCTCTCTGTGTGCCTGCACATCCCACCCAGCCCTCTCGGAGCTGTTGGCACCCTGGCACAGCTGAGCCCTGCTGGAGCTGCAGGTTGGTGCTGGCTGGGCCCGACGCAGTGCCCGTGTCCCGCAGGCCATCGAGAGCTTTGCCCTGACGGTGAAGGAGATTGCCCAGCTGCTGCAGTGCTTCGGCACGGAGCTGGCAGAGGCGGAGCTGCCCGAGGACATGCACGCCATCGAGCGCCTGCTGGCGCTGCGCACCGAGAGGTACTGCCAGCTGAAGGTACGGCAGCACAGCTGCGCCCGCGCTGCTGGGCTCTGCTGCCCCGGCTGCTGCCCCGGGCTGCCTGCTGGCCCCTGGGTGGGTGGTGTCCCTGTGGGGTTGGTGCCCACTCTTTGGATGCTGTCCCTGTTTGGTTGCTGTCCATTCTTTGGTTGGTGTCCACTCTTTGGGTGGTGTCCAGTCTTTGGTTGGTGTCCCTGTGGGGTTGGTGTCCACTCTTTGGGTGGTGTCCCCTGTTTGGTTGGTGTGTCCCAGTTTGGTTGCTGTCCAGTCTTTGGTTGGTGTCCCTGTGGGGTTGGTGTCCACTCTTTGGGTGGTGTCCCCTGTTTGGTTGGTGTGTCCCAGTTTGGTTGCTGTCCAGTCTTTGGTTGCTGTCCAGTCTTTAGTTGCTGTCCCTGTTTGGTTGTTGTCCCCTGTGTGGTGTCCAGTCTTTGGTTGGTGTCCAGTCTTTGGTTGGTGTCCCCTGTGTGATTGTGTCTCCTGTTTGGTTGGTGTCCACTGTTTGGTTGGTGTCCACTCTTTGGTTGGTGTCCCTGTTTGGTTGGTGTCCACTCTGTGGTTGGTGTCCCTGTGTGGTTGGTGTCCACTGTGTGGTTGGTGTCCACTGTGTGGTTGGTGTCCCTGGGGGGTTGGTGTCCCCAGTTTGGTTGGTGTCCCCAGTTTGGTTGGTGTCCCTGTGTGGTTGGTGTCCCTGTGTGGTTGGTGTCCCCAGTTTGGTTGGTGTCCCTGTGTGGTTGGTGTCCACTGTTTGGTTGGTGTGCCCCTGTTTAGTTGGTGTCCACTCTGTGGTTGGTGTCCCTGTTTGGTTGGTGTTGTGTTTGGTGTCTTACGTGTGGAGATGCGAATCTTGACTTTATGTTCCTGTGTGGTTGGTGTCCCTGTGTGGTTGGTGTCCCTGTGTGGTTGGTGTCCACTGTTTGGTTGGTGTGCCCCTGTTTAGTTGGTGTCCACTCTTTGGTTGGTGTCCCTGTGTGGTTGGTGTCCCTGTTTGGTTGGTGTTGTGTTTGGTGTCTTACGTGTGGAGATGCGAATCGTGACTTTATGTTTTAGAAGGCTGGTTTATTATATTATGATATGTATTATATTAAAATACTATATTAAAACTATGCTAAAAGAATAGAGGGAAAAGATTCATCAGAAGGTTAGAAGGAACAAGAAAAGAATGAATAACAAGGACTTGTGACTCTCAGAGTCTGATGTAGCTGCATCTGTGATTGGCTATTAATTAGAAACAACTAATATCTACCAATCACAGATGCACCTGTTACATTCCACAGCAGCAGATACTTATTGTTTACATTTCTCTCTTAAAACTCCTTGACTTCCCAAAATCCTAACAAAGGATTTTTCATAAAATATCATAATAACAAGTTGGTGTCCCCTGTGTGGTTGGTACCCCTGTGTGGTTGGTGCCCCATTTGGTTGGTGCCCCATTTGGTTGGTGCCCACTCTTTGGTTGGTGTCCCCTGCTCCCTCTCTCCCATGTGTGTGCTGTCAGACAAGGCAGAGCACAGCCTGGCTGTTCTGTGTCCTCACCTGTGCCATGCAGCAAGCAGGTACCCTCCCTGCACCCAGCCCTCCTGTGCTGCCAGCCCTCTTGCACCCAGCCATCCTGGGCTGCCTGCACCCAGCCCTCCTGAGCTGCCAGGTCACCCTGCCAGAACCCAGCCCTCCTGAGCTGCAGCCCTCCTGAGCTGCCAGCCCTCCTGAGCTGCCAGCCCTCCTGCCTGCACCCAGCCCTCCTGAGCTGCAGCCCTCCTGCACCCAGCCATGCTGAGCTGCAGCCCTCCTGCACCCAGCCATGCTGAGCTGCAGCCCTCCTGCACCCAGCCATGCTGAGCTGCAGCCCTCCTGCCTGCACTGTGGCTGGCTGCAGCCTGCTCCTCCCGTGGGATGGCACCTCTGGCTGCCAGCAGGCTGTGTGGGTCTCTGTCACCTGCCTGTTCCTGTCCCCAGCTGGGAGCCCCTCTGCCTCACCCCCCTGGCTGCAGAAAGCTGCAGGCAGAGGTCATCAGCAGGTCTGGAGGGGTGGTCTGTCCCCAGGTCCCTCTGCCTGCTGGATCTTCCCTGGGGGCACTTAAGGGAACTGTGCTGGACAGCATCCAAGGTGAAGAGTTCTGTGTGAGCACGGGGTACAGAGCATCCCCCATGTGATCCCTGTCTTCATGGCAGCCTTCAGGTTTTGTCTTAGACAACATTTGTTTCTTGAATATTTAAAATTTTTTTCCAGCTCTTTGTGATTAATATTATCATAGCAGTCAGTGGAAGGTTCAGGGCAACCAGCTACTTTATCATATCAGCCTGTTGTCTTTGGTGCGCCTGCACCTTCCAGGAGCAGCACAGGCCCCAAACCCTCCCTTCAGAAGCAGTCACTGTGTTCATAGCTGTTCTGTGGGGCTGAAGAATGAGCTCCTCTGCTTTGTGACAGGTTTCATTTACCTAAGTCAGAGAATTGTATCTATTTTAATTTATAGTCGTTTGTCATTCATGTGTCAGCGAGTTCCCAGAAAGCTGCCTCTAAGAAATACTGAAAATGTCATGCAAGTTGTGCTGTGTGTAGGCATAAATACGTGTGTGCATGTTTAGAAAGAATCACTATGGATACTGTCAATGGGCCTCCATCTCTTTGAAAATGAAGAGAGTAATATGAAATAGCAGCTGCATCTATTGCACCATGACTCAGTGAGTTCAGCTTTGTGCTCAGGACTGTGGCCACAGTGCAGGGGCAATAGCAGCCCCACAGTGTGGGTCAGCAGAGGATAAACCAGTATACAGAGTATAAACCAGTATACAGAGTACAAACCAGTATACAGAGTATAAACCAGTCAGCAGTGCCCACTTGTCTCTGTGCAGAAATAAAACACATCACGTGTTCTCCTTTGAGTAGAAAGCATAGCAGCACTCAGTACAAGCCATCTGTTGCTTTTAATTCCTCCTCTATTAATTTCAGATATCAAAACCACTCGTTGGCTTTTGTCTGAAGTGAGGTCTGTTGGCTTTTTTCTCTTGTTCCTTCTAAGACCATGAAACACAAAAGCAGATGAGAAGCTGTGCACAGATTGTGGTGACAGCAAGACATGGGATCTTTGTCTCTGTTATGACAACCCCAGGACTGGTACAGCTGATCCCTGAATTCAGATATTGAGTAAATCAGAATAATTTAGGTAGCTGTGATGCTGAGGAAAACTGGCGTCAAGCACAATGCAAAAATGACAGAAATTAATTAAAGAGAGTAACTTAACCCCATTGATGTACTGAACAGAAGAAGTCAAGTTGCCACCTGTTTGACAGTCAGGCCACTTTGCTTTTTGGACAAGGAATGGCTTTGAGTCACAGGAGGAGCGTGGGTCTCTGGGGAGTGAGGGTAAGAGGATAAAGAACAGCCCCTGCAGTCTGAAACACGCTGCACCCTTTCTCTGCTGAGCCTCCTGCCTGGGGCAGTCTCAGGAGGAGATGGGTTTGCCTCGTGGTCAGATTCAGGGTGTCAGTGCCAGGGCTGCAGGCTGGCACTGGGCACTGTGCCGAGGGAGCTTCCTGCAGCTCTGTCCTCTCCTGGGCTGCTGCGAGCTGTCTGGGGCAGGCAGGCACTGAAGCAAGTCTGGTCTTTCCGAATCCTCTCCCTGAAGAGATTTTGCCATTGTTTCTCTTGCATAGAGACCTGGCCATCTCCTGGGATGGGCTCACTCCTCCAGGACCAGGCTCTCCAATGGGACCACACACAGGTCACTCCTTCAGGGCCTCTGGCTCCTCAGTTCATCAGCTACCTGTGTGTTCTCCCTCCTCCTTTCTGTGCTTGGCCTCTTTTTCCTGAAAACAGTTGACTCAATGCACATGTTTGCTTGGGGGTGAGCCCAGCCAGCACAGAGCACCTCAGCTGATGCTGATGAGGACCCCCAGGGTTTAAATTTCCCCCAGGAGAGGTTGCCTTGGGAGTGTTGGTTTCGTGTGTAGAGGTTGTGCTGAGTGGGCTCAGTCCTGGCTTTGTTCCCCCATGGGCTGCTCCTCTTACAACCTCCTCTGCTGACCCTGATGGAGAAGCACAGCCTTCCAGCTGTGGAAATTCTTGCTTGCAGACATGAGCTTGTGGACAGATGTCTCACACCAGGGGCAGTGCTGGCCTCCTGAACCATTCTGTGGCCTGGTGTATTCACGTGTGGCAGTTTCCACCCAGCCTGGTGCCCTGTCCATGGCTCAGCCTCGTGCAGCTCCAGGGGTTAATTCCATGTTAAGGACTGAAACATCTGCTGGGAGCCCTTTGGTCTGCTGGGCATTGCTGCTTCTTTTCACACAGGGAAACTGCGGCAGGAGGAACACAAAATGGCTCATGCTGACCTCACAGTAAGTAGCCCGAATGAGAAATGTTTTGTGTCATACAGGAAGATATCACAGCAGTCACAAAAGAGGGAAACTTGCTTCTGAGCAGTTTTGAAGAGCCAGACCCGGGGGAATGCAGCCAGGAGCAGCAGCCAGAGAGGTCTGGGGACTGGGAGACGGTGAATCGGTGAGTGCAGTGTCCCTGAATTCCTGACTTCCAGTGGAAACACTCACATTATTTGGGTGTGGATGTGTTGTTGAGGTCACCTATCAAAGACAAAGATCCCAGAGTTTTGCTCCAGTCCATCAGATTGCTGGGTGCCTTCTCTCATGATTCTGGCTTGCTCTGATCCCTTCCCCACTGTTCTGGTGGGGCTGTGGAGCAGGTGCAGGGCTCTCCCGTGCCAGGCTCCCAGGTTTTACCAGATAAATGGAGATAGCAGCAGCTGCTTCACACAGATGCAGTGCTGATTCATTACATCCCTCTCTGGGATCATCTCAAGCCACATGTGCATGTCTGTTGCCTTTTCTGAGTCCTTGGGTCCAGAGGACCTGTGTAAGTGATCTCCAGGTCTTGTCCATCTCTGCTTGCCCCCTGTTTGCAAATTGTTCCAGTCTTGTCCTTTTTCTGTGCCCAAGGTTGCTTGGTCAGCTGCGAGAGATGGAGACTGCTTTTGATGGCTTCTGGGAAAAGCACCAGTTAAAGATGGAGCAATATTTACAACTCTGGAAGTTTGAGCAAAGTTTTCAAGAGGTAGGATCAGATGTGCTTCCACTGGCAGAAGGGAGAGTTGGAGATCTGATGGAGAGAAGTTCTTATGCTTTTTATTTTGAGAGTGTTTAATTTATGCTGCTGTTCCTTGACTGTGGCAGGGCTGGCCAGCCTGGGAGACGGCTGTGCTTCCTCCCTGAGAGCTAATTTAGGTATCACTGCCCTGCAGTCGCCTGGATTTTGCTGATGGAAGCATCTTTGAATTTAGAAATTAGTTCTTGGAACACTAGCTGTATTATTGGATTTAGCAATCTTAGCTCGAGTGTGATTAATTTTGGGCTCAGACTGCTTTCCTGCCTGTGCTTTGTATCCTTTTGCAGCAGCCCTCTTCTTTGTGTCCAGGTCAAGAATGCCATTGAATTTCTAATGGGTCAGCAGGCGGAGGTGCCCGACACCGGGGACAGCATCCCCCAGGTGAAACAGAGGCTCAAGGACTTGGAGCACTTCGATGGCATGGCTCAGGTGAGATAACCTTGCACTCATGAAACACAAGAGCCATGTTCTGTGTTTGTGGTGGGAGGTGTTTGCTGAAATCACCTGGGTCTGTAATTTGTTGGTAAGTGCTGCACCAGAGGATCGATTTCATGTCTCTGCTCTGAGCAGCAAGGCTGTGATCACTCTGAAAGCCAGAAACAGGGTATTTAATTATCAGAGTTAAAATGAATTGCTGAGCCACCGTGAAAATCCGGAACAGATAAATGTCTGAACGTGGGGGAGGCGTGGGATTTAACGAGCTGGAAGAATAATTATTTATATTTTAAGTGCTTTAGCTATGCTAATAGGCAGAAACTTGTTACCAGGCACATGGAGTTGCAAAAAAAGTTGTATCCTGACATGTCTGTGACTTGAACATAACATATGGGTGAAGAGTAAGAGATTAGGGGGAAGAAGAGTGGAATGATTCACAGAGCCCAGCTGAGGACGTGACCTTTGCAAAGGGATGTGCTGGGCGCCTGGGCCAGGGTCAGCAGAGAAACCCTGAGGGCTCTGGGCACAGGAGAGTTCTAGAGAAAGGCCCGAGGCTTGCTGCCATTGGGAAGAAATGTTTATGGGGAGAGGGAGGAGGATCAAAAAGGCAGGCAGGGTGCAGCATGAATATTTAAAAAGTGCAAAGCCATCCCAGTGCAAAGCCATCCCTGGAGAAACCAGAGCCATTGCACTACTGAGGTGTGCAGAAAAGACCCTGTGTTCTTGGCATCAAGATAAACCTCAAGGACTCCAGCTGCCTTTGATGCTGGGGGCTTGGTGGCCTGAGCTGGCCATCATCTGCAGTTTATCCGGGCTGTGGCTCCTGGAGGGGCAGCGATGCACTGCCAGCAGGCACTCGCAGCCTTGCTGCTTTGGGAAATGCTGTTTTCTTCTTCCCCCTCTGCCTGGATAGAAAGGTTTTTCTCCCCGAGCCCTGCTGAGGTGTGGGGGCACCGTGCTGCCTGGGGGCACGTTGGCACCGTTCCTGTGTGTGCAGCTCTCCCTTTGCCTGCAGGAGCTGATGGGCAAGGCTCAGGTGGTGATCCTGCACGGGCACCAGCTGGCAGCCAACCACCACTACGCCCTGAACCTGATCTGCCAGCAGTGCAACGAGCTGCGGCACCACTGCGACCTGCTGGCCGAGCACGGCAAGAGGAAGCACACGCGCCTGCAGAAGACCCTGGAGCTCCACACCCGCCTGCAGCAGGTAGAGCTCAGGGACACGGGGCTCTCAGGAGATGGTTGGTTAGCTTATCCACGGGCTGAGCCTCTCTGCTGTGCTGGAAGCATCTGAAGTTTGCAGCTTTTCTTCGGGGTTAATGCAGGGAGGTGTTCCCCCGAGGCTGAGGACAGGCACACCTCCCTTGGCTGGGAAGCCAGCAAACAGGAATCTGCTGGTGCTGTGAGGGCAGCACAAGGAGGTGGGCATCTCCACACAGCACCAAGCTCAGCTGCTGCTCTTGGAGGTGCTTTCATGCTGCATCCATGCATTGATTGACTTGGGAGGTTTTCCTGCCCACTGTGCCAGAGGTGATGCTCCCACATGAACTCCAGCCCTTTTTCTGAGTCATTGATTAGGACTGAACTTAGCTGAGTGTGAAATAAGGTGACAGATTGGTAGATAGGCACAGCTGCTGTGTGCTAGCATGGAAGAGGAGTCATGTGGCTCCAACTCTCTTTGATATCTTAATCAGCATCAAATATTCATTTAGGGAAATTCACGCTAATTAGGCCAGAAGGCACACGGCTGTAATGTGCTTGAGGCCAATTAAGAGAAACAGTGAATTTTGATCCTGTTCCATTTCCCTGTTTCGGGGCACTGGGGAGCTCCTTTTGCTCTCTGTGTGCTCCTCTTCAGCGTGGTGCTGAGCTGTGGGACACAGTTCCTTGGCAGCCTGTCCTGCAGGACAGGGCCTCTCCTGGGCTCCCTGCAGGCCTGCTTGGTGCCTGGGGTCTGGCCTGGGGCTGTGCTGAGCACACCATGGTCCTGCTCTCCATGTCTCCTGTCCTGTTCACAGCACTGGAAATTCTCTGCTGCTCTTGGCTGGAGCATCCTCTCACCCCTGTGCACAGCTCAGTGTGTGAGTGCCAGTGAGCCCCAGCTCAGGTCTGCACTGCCAGCCTCCCTGTAAGCTCCAAATGCCCACTTCAGCTTTCCCAGCTGGAGAAACAAACACCTGCTTATCCCTGGGGTCGGCTGTGCACTGGCACCTCCGTGCCGGGCCCACCACTGGTTTGAGCCGGGCCCACCACTGGTTTGAGCCAGCCACACCACTGGTTTGAGCCAGCCACACCACTGGTTTGAGCCAGCCACACCACTGGTTTGAGCCGGGCCCACCACTGGTTTTAGCCAGGCACAGCTTGGCTGGGCCTGTTGAGGACTGCAGTCACCACACAGAAAAAACGTGGCTTTGTGTTTCCCAGTGAAGCCACAGCAGGCTGAGCTCTTGGCAGTGCTGAGTGCTGCATGCAGGTCAGTCAGTGGTGCTCTCACGGGGCCCTGGTGGCAGTGCAGGTGCCTGGGGGTCTCACTGCCCGTGCTGCCCCCAGGCTCTGCAGTGCTGTGATGAAGGTGCCTACCTGCTCGCCAACCAGCAGATGGACAAGTGCCAGTCCAAAGAAGGCGCTCAGAAGGCACTCCAGGACATAGAAAGATTTCTTGAAAGCTCTTCATCCTACTTAAACCACGACCCCCAAGCCCTGCTCTACGATTTTGAGTCAATTTTGACGCCCGAGTTGAAGGTAAGCGAGGCTCCAGGGAGAGGAGCAGGCTGGGGCTGTGCTGTCGCCTGGCAGCCCGTGCCCTGCCCAGGGAGGTGACCCTGCTGTCTGTGCAGTGCCAGGTGCAGTCGGCGCAGGTGAAGCTGGAGAGCGTGCGGGGCATGTTTGAGAGCAGGCAGTCGTGCTTCAGGAGGCTGCTGGACAAGCACGTGCGGCCCGTGCAGCTCGTGGCTCCCCGGCCAGAGAACCCCCCCCGCGCCAAGTCACCCCTCTTCTCTCCCAAGCACGGTAAAGCATCTGGAGTTACACTTTTCCAGCTTTGAGGCAGCAGGAGTAAGGCTCGGGATGGTTTGGAGAAGCTACGCAGACCTTGCTGGCAGATAGAGAATTATTGCAGAGTGTTAAATATATATATATCAGGATTTATTAACTTCCCAGTGTTTGTGCTCCCACACCTGTGTGAAGGATGAAGTTGGTTGCTTGTTATTTATTTCCACTCCCCACTCAGTGAAAAAAGGGCTGCAAGTAGCACACCCCTCCAGTTACTGGCATCCTGCTGGGCTGGAGGCTGGTGAGTTAATACTACAGGGGAAAAGGGCAAGCTTTATCAATTTATTAGCTTGCCTATTCTCTGTGGCTGTCTTGAGCTGGAACTGACATAAAGTTAGACTGATGTTTGCAAAGGAGCTTGGAGCTCAAATCTCATGAACAGAAATGAGCTGGATGCTTAACTCCTTTTGATTCCTTCAGGGTGTCTTCCCTAAATCCCAATTGTGGAATAATTAAAGCCCATAAAGTTACAAATTCTCATTGAACTGAGGTCACTGAATGTTCTGCCTTAGTTTTGGTAATGGGATGTGGCACCATGTTAGCTTTAAATGACAACATTAAAACTTTCATCCTTGGCAGCCCTGAGTGTATCAGGCAGAATTAAAAGAGATTCCAAAGTAACATTCATGTATTTTCAACCAGGGACTTGCTAAATTGTGTCAGAATATTAAATCCAGTGATCTGACTACATAAAAGCAATTAAACATTTGTGTTTTAACACAAGGTTTTTATGATGAATTAACAAATATTGGTTATGGTGAGCTGTAGCAGGTGTCATACAGCAGCAAAGCAGCTTCAGGGAATGAGAAATGGAAACAGCCAAGTGGAGGGTGGGAATGAAGCTGGATACAGGGAGGGAAATGAAGCTCCTCGAGATGCAGGCCAGTGCAGCAAATAAATCCCAGATTTCCTCTTCCCAGGCTGGTGCCACCCTCTCCAGAGTACATCACCTTCCAAAGCCCTTTCCTCAGTCAGTACAAGCTCTGAGTCTCCAAACTAGAGCATTGCCATTTTACCTGGCCAGCTTTTCCAGCTTTCTAGAAAGAGGAGAGGGTCAAAGACAGATTATTGCCCTAAAGAGTGGGGTGAATGGGTGGCCAGCTCTGTGATGTTGTGAGATCTCCCTCACCCAGCTGGGCTTTTTTCCATGCCTTTGTGGGACACACGTTTTCTGGCAGAGGCACTGGGTCACCTGCAAAGCACAGGTGTGCTGCATGAATCCTCCTCCTGAAAGCAATGATCAAGTGTGGCAAAGACAAAAGGCTCCTCTTTGGGGAGATATGACAAGAGAGCTTTTTAAGAGTCTGTTTGATAGCAAACATCAAACTGCTGCCGGCCTGTGGCGTGATGGGCAGAGCCAAAGGCACACGCTGAGCTCTGCTGGGGGTGTTTGACATGGATGGGTTTTATGGTGGGGCTTGAAACCAGCTCTGAGCACATCATTCTGTCCTCTGTTCCTTTCTTCCTCATGTTTCTGTGCCCCATTCCCCCCTTCTGTCTCTGGCTGAGGACAGATGCTTCCTCTTTTATCTTTGCCCTGGATTTGAAGCCTGTCTGAGAAACGTGGTTCTAATGTTTAAACCATTTTTTTGGAGGTGGGGAAGAGTAAATGTGTCCCCCCGGAGCCCTCAGGTGCAGTGGGATGTGCAGAAGTGGCACTGCAGGCTGTGGCAGAGCCCCTGCAGCAGGAGAAGCTGTGCCCGTGTCCCATGCAGCTGCAGATGCCCCAGGGCAGTCTCTGGGCAGGACCACTGGCAATCCTCAGCTCCTGTGGGTGCTCCCAGGTGTGGCCCAGCCGTGCCCAGCTGGGTGTGTGGCTGCTGCAGGGCCAGGCTGTGCTAGCTGCAGAGGGGCTCTGCACCCAGGGTGCCCCCGAGCCCCCGTGCCTCCCCTGGCTCTCTGCACGTTCTACAGTGTTTGAGTGATGCCCTGCAGCTCACTGGAGACACTGGTGCTTTCTTTCTGAGCTTCCAGTTTACCTCCGTGGCTCAATTGCAGCTTGTAATTATTTACAATACCAACAAATTTGTGCAAAATGGAGAAAGTTTCTTCAGCTGAGCATCTTGCCCTACGTTCATAAAAGGGCTTTAAAGCAGTGTCCTAGCAGGGGGTGTTCTTTTTTTGTAGTTTGTTTGCTTTTGTTTTTGTTGTTATCATATGCCCAGGCTTCAGAGACTTTGTTAGGTTTTGATTACTGTGTTCCCTTGGTGAACATTTTGTTTTTTCTAAATATTTGTACTCTGTGGCCTTTATGACCGTGGGATGGGCTATGTGGAATCAGTATTGTTTGGGATAAATACCCTTTACTTTGTCAGTTTGCTATTAGTGCTAGCTAACTAATTATTTATCCTTAAAGTGTATCCCATTTTTCTTCCTGACTTATTAATTTCTGTCTGAAGAATCCCCTTCACTATAGATGTACATCATGTAATTCTGCTTTTTTCTATCCAAGGTGTAGATTTTAATTCCAGTTTGAAATTTTCATTTGATCTCTCTCTCCCTGGAAAGAAAACTTCAAGAAAAACTCCAAGTTCTCGCAAGGTAAAAATTATTCATGGAATCTGAGTTAGTTTTATACAGGGAAAAACTGAAACTCCTCTGAAGATTGAGTGTGCTTTGGATTTGGAGATACCCTCTTTATTTCCTTTTTCTTTTGCCCTTTAAAAACTCAAGCAGACCCAAACCATGTGTGTGGTTTAGTTGGATTAGTCCCACACCTGAGCCCTGGCTTGACTGATTTTTACAATATCCAGGCACCTGTTTCCTGTGTGCTGTTCCCTGGAGTTATTTCTCACATGGCAGAGGTGTGCATTAGGAAATATCCCCATGCCCAGGTGTCTCCCCTGTGGAAACTCTTCTCTGATGAGTTATGTTTCCATGTGTTCAGATTTATGCAGCAGAGGCATTTCTGGGATTTTTGGCTGGCCATTACCTGTTGTTCCCTTCTGAGGTCTGCAGCCCGAGGGTTTCGTAAGGAAGGGTTTCATCCTGCCCAGGGCTCCCTGGCTGCCCAGGGCTGGGCTCTGCTGCCCTGCAGGCTCTGCAGCCTGCCCAGTGCCTCCCATCTCCCTCCAGATCGAGGTCATGCACGACTACCAGGAGAAGAGGAATTCCTTGCAGTACTTCATTTCCGACAGTGAGGACAGCTTGGATGTGCTGAAAGGGTGAGCACTCAGCCCCTTCAGACCCCCTGAAAGGAGCTTTGTTTGTGGCCAGTCCCTGCCCCGTCCCTGTGCTCCTGCAGCCCGACCCAGGTGTCATCTCCTTTGTGGGTTGTTCATGAGATCACACACTGTTCTGGGCTCCCTGAGCTGCACTGATCACCTGTGGGGCTTCTCATAGGCCTTAAATAACACTTGTGTTGTGTTTCCATTTTAGCCATGTCATAAACGAGCTTATAGAAACAGAGAGAGTGTATGTGGAGGAGCTCTTCACTGTCCTGACGGTGAGTGACTTCTGCAGGTTCTCGTCCCTGTGCCCTGGGGGTTGTACAAAGGGCACCTGCCAGCCTGTCAGACAGCCAAGATGTGCCAGGGCAGGCTTCCACCAGGCTGAAAGTCATAAATGCCCAAGTTTGCTCCTTAGGTGTTCTTTGTTGGAGGCATCTGCAGGAACAGTTGGTGTCAGGATGAGCTTTTCTTCCACAGTGAAGGAGAATCCTTCTGTTTGTACACAGGAGCACTGGTAATTAGCCTTAGCAGTGCCTGTAAAAGATACAAAAAGCTGTTTCTCTTGACTGTTCCCTAATTTTCTGTACCTTTAGGAGACAAAAGGAGGCAGCTTGTGTTTTATCCTTGAGAGAATCCTGTCTCAATGCTGTGAAATTGTGCCTGTATGAAGCACATTGCTTTAGAAAGCAGCTAATGATTTCTCATACTGTCATTTTAGACATTACTACTTTATCCAAAATAACTCCTGCTGAGGGCCAAAACAAGCTGGGTGTTAACTTGCTCCCCCCCAGCATTTCTCCCAGCCAGGAGCAAGCAGGATGTAAATCTGGACTGCAGGGAGTGGCTGCCCTGCACTGGTTGGGTTTTTGTTAAGCACACTCTGTGCTGAAGCAGTTGGCAGGTACACAGGTTTATTGCTGTGCACATCGAGTCTGGATAGAGGAAAATGGACAGATGGACTTCAGTTTTCTGAAAACAGTATTTCCTTTAAAGAGGGAAGCCTGCTTGCTGGCCTTAGATAAAAATGACTAATTTTCCAGATACTTATCATCTATTGCATCCTTAATCAACTACAGAATGCCTGCTGAGCATGAGGAGTGTTGATTCCAAGCACAGTGAGTGAGAGATTAGTTGGGAAGGCAGAGGAGATGTGCTGCACATACTGAACACGTTTGTGCTGCCCGTGTTAGAAGGGGCTCAGTCCTGTGCAGCCCTTGGCACAGCAGGGCCAGCCTGAGCTGTGCCTTTGGCATTCTTGGGGTCTCTCTGCACCCTGGTGCTGAGCCCTGGCCGTGCCTGCTCCCTGCACTGCAGTTAGCACATTCCCATGTCTGCTGCACTGAGGGGCTCTTACCTGGGGAGCTCTACACCATCTCCTGGGTCCAGTGTGGGCCCTTCCAGCTCCTCCCCACTTTGGGAGCCTGTGGTGTCAGGGGCAGGTGGAGGCACAGAGCCCGGGGTTCCTGGAGCGCTGAGGAGAGAGCATGTCTTGAGCAGGAGCAGAGACCATGGAGGTTTGATCTGATCTCCTGTGTCTGGTCTGCAGGGCTCTGCTGAGGCTGCACACACACACACCCTGCCCCTCTGTGCCCCCAGCCCCTCTGTGCCCTGTTCTCCCCACAAACACACACACACATCACCTGCCCCTCTGTGCCCTGTTCTCCCCACACACACTCCCGTGGCTCCTCTCCTGCAGCCAGGCTGGTTTGCCTTTGGAGAACTGGGAGCATCTCTGCAGTGCTGCCAGCCCCACAGGAGCTGTCCCCCCCCGTCCCTTCTGGACCCCAACCCCCTGTGCCCAGGGACTGAAGACAGGGATTTAGAGGCCAAAAACCAGGGAATAAAAGGAATATTGCACTTAGAAACAGAGAGATCATGTTGAAAGTCTGTTCACGTCCCCTTCTCACCTGCCTGTGAGGAGCTGGCAGCTGAGAGTGGGCCCTTTTTCATCTGGCAGGGCTACAGAGCTGAGATGGATAACCCTGCCATGCTGATGCTGCTGCCCCCCGTGCTGAGGAACAGGAAGGATGTTCTCTTTGGGAACATGCCCGAGATCTACGACTTCCACAACAAGTATGGAGCTGCTCTCTTCCCTTCACAGGCTGATCCCTGGAGTGCTGACTAGCCCAGCCCCACCAGCTCACTGCTGTGCTCTTGTCCCCTCTGCCATCTCTTGCAGAATTTTCCTGCACAGTCTGGAAAGCTGCCTGGGGGCACCCGAGCGAGTGGGCTGCTGTTTCCTGGACAGGGTGGGTGAATCACTGTCCCTAAAGCACACCCAAGGCCAGGGTTTCCCTGCTTGTCACACTCTGCAGCTCCTCAGCTATGCTGGCTGGGTGAGCTGCTGGCCTCAGGACCAGCAGTGGCCGTGTGTGGCCAGCAGAGGTGGCATTGCAGCCGTGGTGCCAGCTGTGAGCCCTGCTGTGCTTTCTGCACCCAGCTGCCAGCTGCAGACAGGAGAGCTGGCAGCACATGAAAGCACAGAGTCTGGGTGCTGGCCTGGGCTGCTGCCCGGCAGGACCGGGTCCTGAGGGTGACCTGGGAGGGTGACTGGCCTTGGCTTGCCTTGCAGCGGGAGGATTTCCAGATGTATGAGAAGTACTGCCAGAACAAGCCCCGCTCCGAGTCCCTCTGGAGGCAGTGCTCCGAGAGCTCCTTCTTCCAGGTGAGCTGCTGCTTGCACCCCGGGGCACTGCCTTGTCCTGCAGCCTCCTCAGCAGCCCACAGCCCTGCACTTTGTTTAGCACGGTCTGCAGCATGCTCACAAAAAGAGATTTTCATACCCCAGGAGTACAGATGCTCTCACTGTTAATTTGCATGTTATTATAATATTTCTCTGGTTGTGGGTACCATTCCACCCTTGGACACAAAACCTTTGAAGTCATCAAACCCCAGGGCTGTGCTGTTGGAATATCTGCTCACAGGTGGTGCAAAACTCACTTGGTGTGACTTCTGTGTTCCAGGAATGCCAAAGGAAGTTAGAGCACAAACTGGGGCTGGACTCCTATCTGCTCAAACCAGTGCAGCGCCTCACCAAGTACCAGTTACTTCTGAAGGTATTTCATCTTCTGCTTCCAAAGGCCACCAGCAGGTAGATTAGATAGAGTGGATTTGGTTTATTTTTCAATTAGAGGTTACCTGTAGATCAGCACCAAGCTTTGGATGGCATATTGCTTATCTTGGCCTCTCCTGAAGTGACTTTCAGTGAAGATCAATGTTCACATGCCTGAAAAAGGAACAGGTGCTTGTGACAGGCCATTTTTAAGGAGAGAGAGACTGATTGAATCTGTTCAGAGATGCAGAATTACAGAAGCACTTGTAGGAAAACCAAGCTAGAGATGATCATGAGACTCTGATAAATGGCACTAATGAAACACCCCAGCCTTATTGCCATATCTTACCAAGCAGGAAAACACAGCACAGAGTCAGAGGAATGTGATGCTGCTCTGTGCTGACACCCTCCTTAAGGAAGCACATTAAAAACAGACCATCCCTCACTGTCCCACAGCTCATGCTGACTGTGCTCTAGAGGGAGCCTTTTTTCCAGGGACATGAAAAAAGAAGCTCAGTGTAGGTCACTTCTGGGCACTGGAAACTTTGGGCAAGGTGGAAAAATCTGCTTTGTTCAAGTGCAAACACGTGCTTATTTCTATTTTCAGGAGCTGCTAAAGTACAGCACGAGCTGTGACGGAGTTCAGGAACTTCAGGAGGCTCTGGTTGCAATGTTGGATTTGCTGAAGTCAGTCAACGACTCCATGCATCAGATTTCAATCACAGGATATGATGTGAGCAGCTGTGGGCAGTGCCCAGGGCTGGTGGGGCACTGGGCACGGGGGGTGTGCAGGATGTGGGCGCTGGCCAGGACAGAAGTGGGCAGGGCTGGGGTCAGGGAGCCCCCACACCCACAGGTACAGTCGTCCCCCTGGTCTCGGGGCTCTGGGGGTCCTGAGCTGCGCGGTGCCCAGCCTTGCCACCTTGTGGTTTTCTGGAGTATCTCTCCAGCGTGCCCCTCTGTTCTCACGGCTGACCTGATAGCTCTCTTGGGCTGTGTCTGTGGCATTTCCCTTTCAGCATTTAGCACTCTCAGGCTGTTTGAGCCTTTACTGTTGGAGTGGTTGTATTTCCTGGGCTTCCCGGGAAGCTGCTGATGCCAGGCCTGGCCTCCTGGGCTGTTCCATCTTCTGATGCCTCAGTCCAGGCTCAGAGCTCACCTCCCTGTCCCACTGAAGCAGCCAGAGCCCTTGACATGCTGTTCCATGGGAGCTGCATGGGTTTCTGTTCCTTCTAGTTCTTCCAGTTCCCGGCCTTCTGGACCAGCTGCAGCCCTGCCGGAGTCCTGTGCCCCCTGGCAGCAGGTCACCACTGCCAAAGAGCCCCTGCTCCTTCCAGGAAGAGCTATTCTTAGAGGGACGTGCCTTGGAACAGAGCTGGCCTGTGTGCTGTCATTGTTTGGAGAGCCCTCTCACATTTAATTCACCTCTCACATTTAATTCACCTCTTTGTCCTTTTTGTTGCTTGTTGTGCTCTCCCCAGGGTGACCTGAGTGAGCTGGGGAAGGTGTTGATGCAGGGATCCTTCAGCGTGTGGGCAGGACACCGAAAAGGGCCCACAAAAATGAAGGACCTGGCCAGGTTCAAGCCCATGCAGAGGCACCTGTTTCTGTATGAGAAAGCCTTGGTCTTCTGCAAGAAGAGAGAGGAGCACGGAGATGGATATGACAAAACCTCATCCTACAGCTTCAAGCACTTTCTGAAAGTAAGAGCTTTTTATTTTTGTTTATACTTATTTTATTTACATTTATTTTGGGTCTGGTGCAGATGAACACCCAGAGCTTTGCACTGACCCAGCTTGGTCTGCACTGCAGTGATCCAGCAGCTGACAGTAAATCCTGGGCAGGGGGAGGAAAGGAATTTTAAAGTCCTCTAACCTGGATGAACAGACCTTAAACTGTCTCTTCCTGGCACTTGTTCTTTGCCATCATAATGGATCATCCAAAATTTCTCATGTCTTGATGCCTGGGCAGTTTTGTAGGAGCCCCATAAATTGCCAGGGTAAACAAGGTGCAGAGATCTGGGAACTGCAGTGACTGGATGAGATGCTCTCCAGGCTGCCCTTCCCACAGCTTTCATAAATTTTAAGTTTTTATAAAATCAAACTGGAGTCTCATCCAGCTTTCTAAAGGGGAAATGGCCTCAAGCTGTGCCAGGGTGTTCAGCTGGGACGTGAGGAGTGGGCACTGACAGAGGGGGGTCCCCATCCCTGGAGGGCTTTAAAGCCCTGTGGATGTGGCACTTGGGGACAGGGGTCGTGGTGGCCTTGGCAGTGCTGGGTTAGTGGTTGGACTCGATGGCCTCAGGGGTCTTTTCCTGCCTAAATGTTCCTGTGATGTCAGGAGCAGCTTGGTTCCTGCTCCCTGGGGCTGTTCCTGTCACTGGAAAGGGGCACCAACACATGGAACAGCTGGAACAGAACATTTGTCCATCGCTCCTGTGCTGGAAATCACCCAAGTCCTTCAGGCCAGCAGCTCTGGGCACGCACACATTGTCAGGGAGGACCAGCAGGGTTGAACAGATGTTATTTCTGAGGTTTTGTTTGTGTTTATAGTGCATTTGTCTAACGCAGTCTGCGTGAATAATTTATGATAGATGATACCTTTATTATTACATCTGTTCCAAACATGCACGTGGGGTACTTGAGCTATTCTTGGCCATCCTTTAATCAGTGAATAATTGCCAGCCAACCCTGCTTTAGGGAGGGGATGGTTCATGTGGTTTCAGGTATTGCTGCAGTTTTCAGCTCCATGGGCTGCTCAGGAGGGAGGTCAGAGCTCAGTTTTGTGTCTCTAGTCATGGCTTGAGCTTGGTTCAGGTGGGTCACACTGTGCAGCTCCTGAAGGATTTGGGCCCTGGGTGCTTCATCCCAACTCTCAGAGGGGTTGGGGATAATGACTAAAGCAGGAGGCAGCTGCAAGCCTGTCCTGGAAGCCAGGCTTGGGGCATCCCAGAAATTACCCAGCTTTTGGAAAAAAATAATCTGTGTGGATAAATAATGTCACGTATTTATAAATCTTCATGTGCCAAATCTGGGACATTCTGTGCAGAAAGAGGCAGCTGAGGTGATGCTTCACTTGGTTCCACTGGCTCCCAAATGAAAAGTTCCCACGGGTCCATTGATTTGTTGTGGAAGGCTAATCCAAAATGCAGCTGATGGAAAGTCAGGAGGAGCGAGACAGATAATGACTTTCAGTTGCTACATAAATTGAAATTGATGAAACATGTTAAATTCAGTGCAAACAGCTTTAACTTGCTGTCACAGCCCGTGTTCCTGGGGAGGAGGGACCTTGGACTGTGTTTAATTGTTTGTTTGTTTGGATTTGCAGATGAATGCAGTTGGGATAACTGAGAATGTGAAAGGAGACCACCGGAAATTTGAGATCTGGTACAGTGGGAGAGAGGAGGTCTACGTGGTGCAGGTTTGTCCCTTCAGACTCTGGGTGTCTGCACGGCCCCAGAGCTGTGGGAAGAAAATGTTTCTGCTTGATCTTCCTGCTTGTAGTGATAGCTCTACAGGTGCCACTGTGCCTGCCTGCATGTAATGGGAATCATCCACTTTAAAAGATTGAATCAAGATTCTTGATGAAAATTTAGTAGTAGCTTTAGGGAATAAAGGGGATTTCAGATAATTACAGCATAGAAAAGTAAGATTTTATTCCTACATGATAATGGATGACTCTTAATTCACAATTCAAACAATTTTCTCTTCTTCCAGGCCCAAACAGTAGATCTGAAGATGGCGTGGTTGAATGAAATAAGAAAAATTTTGTTCAAGCAGCAAGAGCTTATAAAAGGTACATTGGATCAATTTCTCTGTGGCTTTCATTCTGCAGCAGAAGCTTTCCTATTTGCTCATTGCTGGTCTTCAAGTCCACAAATTCTCACTGGAGAATCAATTTTTAGAAGCCTGGTAGCAAAATGCTGGAGTGAGGCCTTACATTGCAGGGAAATAACTTACCCTGGAGCAGTAAAACCTGGGTGCTGATGTGACAATGAATCACACAAGTACATTTGTTTAGTTGTCATTACCTTGGGCATTATTTCACGTTTGTTGTCATAGGTTTAATTCAACAAGATACAAACCAGATGCCTCATTTGAAGCATCTCCTGGTGCTCAGGAGCATGCTCAGTGCTGGATTTGTGCTAACATGCCACCTCAATCATAATTAACTCTGTGCTTTGCAAGAGCCCACAGGTCTGCTTTTCTCTGAACACAAACCAGTAGGGTTGTGCAAAAGGTCTGATTTTTAAAGCAATGCTTCAAGTGTGACAGTTGCTAGTGGAGAACTGGATGCTAAGCTGTGTTTGCCCTGCAGCAGGGGAGAAGCAGCAGCCTGGCTCGTGCTCGGAGCAGCTCCCACTCTCCTCCCAGCTGGGGGACAGGTGAGTGCCAGCCTGGGCTGGGTGCCTGCCACAGTCACATTTCCTGAAAATAATCCCTTTGCCCAGGGCTTTGCTCCTGGGAAACTGAGAAGCCTCAGAGAGAAAGGAAAACAATCTTATCTCATTTGCTTCTCCTTGGCTGTGCTTCTTTGGAATGTGGTTGGAGATTGTTTACCCACGGGTGGTTGTTTCATTGGGTTCATGTGAATTATTTTGACTCATTGGCCAACAGGGCCAAGCTGGGTCAGACTCTGAAAAGAGACACAAGTTTTCATTATTATATTTTTAGCCTTCTGTAAGTATCCTTTCTGTATTCCTTAGTACAGTGTAGTTTAGTACTCTTTAGTGTAATATAGATCATAAAATTATGAATTAGCCTTCTGAGAAGATGGAATCAGATCCATCATTCCCTCCTGCCCCGAGGGCACCCCACAAATACAATACAATACAAATACAATAAATGCCCTCCCATCAGGGGGCACGGAGTGCTGCTGGCTCTGTGCTGGCCCTGGGCAGGGGACACAGGGGTGTGCTGCTGCTCACCCTTGGGTGCCATGGCCTGGCGACAGGGTCTGCAGGGACACCCTTGGGCCTGGCAGCTCAGCCTGAGCTGCTCCCCTCTGCAGATGGAGCAGAGCAAAGACAGGGCTCTCACTCAGGGCAGTCACTGCAGCAGCTTCCTTTCCCTCCCAAAAAGATTGAGAACTGGGCACTAAGTCCTTAATCTTCCCACAAACACACACTCAGAGGCACCAGCACTATTTGTGACCCTGTTTAGCAGAACCTGGGGCTGGTGCTCGCTGGTGGAGTGAAGCTAAGACTGGCTGTGTTGTTTTGCACCCTCAGGAAGCAGCAGAGAGCCTCCATCAGCTCAGAAGAGAACGACTCGGAGCGCACCAGCCCGGTGCTGCTGGACAGCGGGCTGCTGTCCCCCCAGAACAAACCCCACAGAAGTAGGGCCCCTTCCCTCCCCTGGGGCTCTGGGGGGCTGCTGGCCCAGCCTGAGCCCCGGCTGTCTTGCAGGCTGGCCGGGAATGTCGCAGTCCCTGGAGATCTGCGAGGGGCTGGAGGAGTGGGCAGGCCAGCAGTGCCTCTCCGCCTGCTCCGACACCGAGGAGGAGGATGGCAGCCAGCTGGTAGGTGCCTGGGCACCCCTGGGCTGCTCCCCCCGTCCTGGCCGTGTCCCTCAGAATCTCCCACCTCACTCTGGGGCGTGAGAAGCTGTCCCAGGCACAGTTTGTTGAAATAGTTCTAATTCAGGTGGCTGGTAGGGCTCTGCCACGTTCAGGCAGCAGTCACAAATCACAGCTGGTGATACAAAATGCAGCTGAATAATACAAGTTTTTCTCTCTGCCACAGTCTCCAGGGAAATACAAAGCCCTTGCAGACTGCAAGAGGAGGGGATCAGAGGACCTGCTGGTGAAAAACGGGGATGAAATCCAGCTCTTGCATGAAGATGGTGAGGGACAGTGGTAGGTATTTGGGATTAGCTTGCCTTACCTCTGAGAGCCTGCAGGGCAGTCCCTTGAAAGGTCCCTTGCCTGGTGACACACTCAGTGCAGCTCCTGGCTGAGCTTTAGAGCATTCCAGAAAGCTGCAGAATTCATTCTCTTGCCAAGACTAGGTGCCACCCACACTGGCACAGCCTGGGGAAACGAGTCAGGACTTCCCTGGCCACGGGTGTTCCCAACACCTTCACAGCCCCCCTTGCCATGCTGTCCCCACTTCAGATGGTGCTTCCCTCTGTCCATCCCAGCTCAGCTCCAGGCTTTGTTCCTCTGGGCATTTAACAGCCACAGTGAGTAACTGCAAGGTGTTCTCCTCCCCAGACAGCTGCAGGGTGCTCCCTGCCCTGGGGGATGGCTGCAGATGTTTCTGTTGTGTGTCAAGCTGTCAAGGCTCACGAGGGAACACCTCACAGCTGCCTCTCCCCTGGGAACACCCCAGGGCCTGCTGGCCCACTGGTGCCCTTGTCTGGGGGCAGCATGCCCCTCCTGGGACTCAGCAGTTTGGCTGAGGTTTTTTTCTTCCCTTTCCAGGAGGGCTCTGAGCAGCTCCCAGCCAGCCCAGGGTCTCAGCAGGAGGGGCCCAGTGTGCCACAGCCCTGTCTGGGGTGTGGGAAGGGTGATGTTGGCAGGAGCCTGGGTCAGACTGGGGCAGGCAGCAGCCTGTGAATGCACAGATGTCAATGCCCCGTGCAGGATTCCTGGCTGACAGCTGCACCCCTTTAAGGGAAATCAGAACAGGATCAAATAGAATGTTTCAGTTGCAAGGATCTGCAAGGATCATCCAGTCCCACTGCATTTTGAAACATTCAGTTTGTTGGTAGCAAAAGCAGATGCAAGGCATCTCAGGTTTGCTGGAAGTTCACCACTCCTGGGGGCTCAGCCAGTGCCAGCCAGAGATTTCACACACCAAGCTTTTGGTAGCACAAATTTCACTGCATGATGAGACAGAGGGTTGTCACTTCTGAGCATGAGTGTTTCCAGCTGCCTAAATCTTGGTTTGAATTTACTTACAGTACCCTGACTAAAACCATCCTACCAGTCTACATGGCAGAGGAGTGAGAAAAATAATTGTTCTTAGCTCCTTCAGTAGCCAGTTCTCCTGAGCTGGCATCTCTGCAGGTCTCAGGCAGGATGACTTGAGAGGGAGTCCTGTTCTCCATGGCCTACAGAGGTGCAGGCTTTTAAATTAGGTTCCTGAATTCAGGTGGGAAGAGCACTTTAAACACGTGGCCAGGTCCTGTTAAAATGCTTTCCTGGCTGGAGCAAACTGCTGCTGTCCCCAGCTGTGCAGAGCATGCCCCACCAAACTGCCTCTGGGATGGCTGCCTTCTGTTCCTAATGCTGTTGTCATTCCAAGGTTGGTGAAAAACCTAAACAGAAGAAAAGAAGGCTGGATTCCTGTGCACAGTCTGCAGATTGTAGTCGGTGACTGCAGGTTTCGGAATGCCAAAGTTGCAGGTATTTGATAGCACGCCTAGCAGAAATATTTCCTATCTCAAATCAGGTCTTTTAAGCCATTTGCTTTACACTTGATGTACTAAATCTGGCTGCTTATGCCTCTGCTGGAAAATAGGAAAGCAAGCAGCTATTCCAAAAAGCCTGCAAAAGTAGCAAATTAAGCTTTTTTCTTTAACACGTTAAGATGTTTCTGAGACTTTAGGCACTAGTAAATTAAAACCAAGCATTTAAAAACGTAGATTTCATTGCACGAGCACTGGGTAGAAGACCGGGGAGAAGAGATGGAGTCTGACCAGGCATTCCCAGGACTGTTTTGCCTCCTCCCTGCTGTAGCTCACTCCCCGTGTGAGCAGCAGGTACCTAAGCAAACTCCTCCTGCTGCAGAGACATCGTGGCCTGACCCCAGCACTCCAAAGGCAATACTTCCTCCCTGCTGCCTCCCTCCTGCCCTCACTGCTGCCTGCTGGTTAATCCACCCTTAGAGGAAGTTTATTACAAACAGGTTGCCAGGTTTCAGCCAAAGGCTTGGAGTCTCCAAACCCAGAGTTCTCATTTTCTAGCTGTAACTGTACATAGAAATAGACAGGGAAGCATAAGAGATGACACAAGAAAATGCCTTAAGAGCAGCCCGCTGCCCTTGCCATGTCCACAGTGTCACTGCTCCATGTGTTTTCTCATCACCACGCTGTCCTCTGCAAGTGGGAGAGCAGGGCTGGAGATGGAACAGCTCCCACGTAGACTTAGTCCATTAAAAAAAATAAAATTACTAGCTATAACTGTATGAAGCAAGTTTTGCAAGGCGATTTCTCTTTAAATACTTCTTTCTGTCAGAATTGATTTTTTTTTTATTTTTATGAAGGTGAAGGAAGCCATCTGAAAGACTTAGAATTCCAGTCAGCTCTTGATGGTTTTTTTGGTATATTTCAGTGAAATCCTCCTACAGGAAGGTTTTTTATCCCCTTTGTTGCAGGGCAGTCAGATCTCACAGGCTGAAGGTTTGCTGATTTTCTGTAAGGGGTAGTTTGCTAAGCAGTGTTCAGAGTTTACTGGCACCCCATTTTCAAGATGCAGTTGTGGCTCCCTTGATCTTCTCTCCATGTGTAGCTACCCATCTCACCGGGTCCTATGCAGAAGGGTTTTCCAGCTGCGAATGCATCTCAGAAAAAGGTGCTGGGAAACTCTGAACCCTGGTTTGCATTGTCAGTGGTCATATCCCCAGAAACCTGGAGACTGTCAGCTCTGGACTGGTTCAAAAGCTGCTGAGTACGAGCTGAGGGGAATGGCACGGGCTGGAACCACAGCAAATGCCTGCTGTGAGTGCCACACACTGCCCAGGGGCTGCAGGGCCGTGTCCCAGGGCCTGAGGGCACTGGGGCTCTGTTCTCCCTGCTGGCTCACTGCTCTCTTTGCTGCTTCTGATGGTGCCTGCAGTCCCAAGGCACGACCCTGATCTTCCACACACCCCAGGAAATACTGGGGATGGGGTAGGATGTTCTCTTGCTGTTTCCTGGAGCTGTTCCTGGAGCTTTTCAGCAGTGTGTCCATACAGCCATAAGCAGCTTGCACTCTAAACTGATTTTCCTGCAGTGTTCTGCACTCAGCAGCTGCCTGTGCCCCGGGGCTGGTCCCTTCACCCGCAGGTGACTCTGCCTCCCTGGACAGGGCTGGGCTCCTGGCTGCTGCCTCAGAAGATGGAGCTCTTGCTCCAGAACAGCACAGGGAGACTTGGGCAGCCAGCTGGTGGAGCCAGGCAGGGCAGAGGGAGCCTCGGGAGCCTCAGGGATGCTGAGCTGCTGGGTTGCAGGTTGGCACTGTGAGCTGGACTGACACGTTGTGGGGTCCCCGGAGAGAGTTGGAGTCACTTCAGTGCTGGGGGAGAGGCAGGTCTGGCATTCTGTGGGGACAGTGCCTGTCTTACTGCTCAGCTCCAGGTTCCCCCAATGAAAACTCTGTCCAGTCACAGAATTTCATAGCAGAACTCATACAAATCTGGAGTTTGGGATTTTTTTCAGGGTGAAGCCTTTAGCTGAATAGAATAAATGGTTCCCTTACCTTCACTTTTCTCCTTACATTTATCCCCCACAGGATGGCTGATACCTGCATGCCTTACAAGCTGTTCCTCTCCCCCCCTGCTAATTATTCCAGCATTGAGCCAATGCAGATCACAATGAAGTTACAGGGAACCCTTTGCTGTCCATTTTAAGTCAGCAGAGGGGTATTTGGTGAATGCTTTCCTTCCCAGCCATTCCAGCTTTGCAAATCCACAGTCCTCTTGTGAATCTTGGCCTGGATATGAGCCATGGGGTTCTCTGGGAGGAAGGTGGCTGGCTTGGAGATCATTTTAAAAATGAATTTTCCTTCTGGTGTGCCTCTAGCTGTAAGTTCAGAGATTAGTCCTTGCTGCTTTCTTGCAGACAGATTTATTCTCTCTGCTGTGCAAACCCATGGTGGGTGTGTTTAATGTGCATGGTGAAGGAGCAGGTTTGTATTGCAGGTGCTAACATGCAGAGCTCAAAATGAAAAATATTTGGAGAGAACCGTGCTCAAAGAGCAATACTCAGAATGTGACTACTGCTGAGGCTCACCTGTGTGCTGGCAGTTCCACTGCCTGGCAGGTGCTCAGGCATTGCCTGGTTACCTGGCTTGGCTTTTCCATGAATTAACACGCAGATGCAAGGTTACCTCTTCACTTCAGGGAAGGCTGGGGCTCCAGCACTGCAATCCCAACTCCCCTTTGCGCTGCAGCAGGAGACAAAACACTTCTGCCTGTCCCTGGGTGGCCAGTGTGGCACTGAGCAGCACTGGCAGGTCTGTGCCAGTGCAGAGAAGGGATCTCAGCTGCACTGCAGCACCCGGGGCAGGGCTGGGAGCCAGATTCCTTCTGAACTCTCTTCCTGCCCCAGCCATTCTGGTGATTTGAGGTGGGCACAGGCTCCTGTTCTACGTGCCAGACCCTCTCCTAGTTTGTTTAACATCCTGCTTGCCAAACCCTCTCCTCCCAGCCTTGGGGGATCCCCTGTGCCCACTGGCAGTGCCTGAAGGATTGAGCTTGCATGTCCTGTGCCCCCTGGGCAGGGCACTGGGATTGTCCTATGTTCTTACTGGGCAGGGCACTGGGATTGTCCTGTGTCCTTACTGGGCAGGGCACTGGGATTGTCCTGTGCTCCCTGGGCTGGGCACTGGGATTGTCCTGTGCCCCTTGGACAATCACTGGGATTGTCCTGTGCCCCCTGGGCAGGGCACTGGGATTGTCCTGTGCCCCTTGGACAATCACTGGGATTGTCCTGTGTCCTTACTGGGCAGGGCACTGGGATTGTCCTGTGCCCCCTGGGCAGGGCACTGGGATTCTCCTGTGCCTCTTGGACAGTCACTGGGATTGTCTTCTGCCCCCTGGACAATCACTGGGATTGTCCTGTGCCCTGTTGGTGCCCTTTGGACAATCACTGGGATTGTCCTGGGCCCCTTGGACAGTCACTGGGATTGTCCTGTGTCCTTACTGGACAGGCACTGGGATTGTCCTGTGTCCTTACTGGGCAGGGCACTGGGATTGTCCTGTGCCTCCTGGGCAGGGCACTGGGATTGTCCTGTGCACCCTGGACAGGCACTGGGATTGTCCTGTGTCCTTACTGGGCAGGGCACTGGGATTGTCCTGTGCCTCCTGGGCAGGGCACTGGGATTGTCCTGTGCCCCCTGGGCAGGGCACTGGGATTCTCCTGTGCCCCTGGCCCCTCTGGATGTGCCTGGCCAGGGTGTTGGAGCTGTGGCTCGAGCTTTGGCAGGCTGCTGTAGCATGTTGGCTGAAAGGTGCCAGCTTTGCCCATGTCCTGGCTCCAGTGCCACCTGCAGCACAGCTCTCTGCACTGCCCCCCACGCCCTGGAACACTGCAGCCACGGGTTCTGTGTCTGTACAGGGGCCCTTGGAGGCAGTGCTGGTTTCTTTGGGCCTTTGCAGCACAAAGCAGGCTCTCTCCTGTGCCCTGCAGTGCCAGCACAGCTATTCAGTAATGCCAGGAAAGCATCTCCAGCCTGCCAAAGGAAGGAGCTAGAGGAGATTCAGCTGGCCTTGCTGGGATAATGAAGTGCTGGTGATGGAAATGAGTCAAACCCTGTGGTCCTGCCTTAGTCAGGGCTCTCACTGCAGCCAGTGGGAGTTCAGCTTTTAGGGAGAAATGCAGGAGTGCTTTCATTTCTTCTCTGTTATACAAATGTTACATGATTACAGGGAACAATGTATTTCTTGGAATAAGATGCTTGAATATTAACATCATTCTCCATTACTTTATAGATGCTGCCCTGTGTAACACGAGAAAGTTCAGTTCCCCTTGAGTTAAGGGTGAACTAGTAGCATCCTATTTTCGATGCTCTTTGGAAGCTTTCAACTAAGTGTTACAGAGAATTAGCACAGTAGTTGGAGTTGTCCTGTACTATCCATCACATTCACAGACCTCCTCAGCCTCATCTGCACTGAGTGGGCCCGGGGCCCTGAGCAGCTTCTCATGCCCATCAAGGAAGCCATTCTCTGCTCTTTGTTTCTTTTCGCCTGTGGAAATTATGGTATTTTGTTCATTTTTCCTGCTGTTTTTCCATGACATACATCATGTTTCATCAGAGAAGTACACTACAGTTTCCTGACACTTCGTTTAGAACTGGGCAGGGCACTGGGATTGTCCTGTGCCCCCTGGGCAGGGCACTGGGATTCTCCTGTGCCCCTGGCCCCTCTGGATGTGCCTGGCCAGGGTGTTGGAGCTGTGGCTCGAGCTTTGGCAGGCTGCTGTAGCATGTTGGCTGAAAGGTGCCAGCTTTGCCCATGTCCTGGCTCCAGTGCCACCTGCAGCACAGCTCTCTGCACTGCCCCCCACGCCCTGGAACACTGCAGCCACGGGTTCTGTGTCTGTACAGGGGCCCTTGGAGGCAGTGCTGGTTTCTTTGGGCCTTTGCAGCACAAAGCAGGCTCTCTCCTGTGCCCTGCAGTGCCAGCACAGCTATTCAGTAATGCCAGGAAAGCATCTCCAGCCTGCCAAGGGAAGGAGCTAGAGGAGATTCAGCTGGCCTTGCTGGGATAATGAAGTGCTGGTGATGGAAATGAGTCAAACCCTGTGGTCCTGCCTTAGTCAGGGCTCTCACTGCAGCCAGTGGGAGTTCAGCTTTTAGGGAGAAATGCAGGAGTGCTTTCATTTCTTCTCTGTTATACAAATGTTACATGATTACAGGGAACAATGTATTTCTTGGAATAAGATGCTTGAATATTAACATCATTCTCCATTACTTTATAGATGCTGCCCTGTGTAACACGAGAAAGTTCAGTTCCCCTTGAGTTAAGGGTGAACTAGTAGCATCCTATTTTCGATGCTCTTTGGAAGCTTTCAACTAAGTGTTACAGAGAATTAGCACAGTAGTTGGAGTTGTCCTGTACTATCCATCACATTCACAGACCTCCTCAGCCTCATCTGCACTGAGTGGGCCCGGGGCCCTGAGCAGCTTCTCATGCCCATCAAGGAAGCCATTCTCTGCTCTTTGTTTCTTTTCGCCTGTGGAAATTATGGTATTTTGTTCATTTTTCCTGCTGTTTTTCCATGACATACATCATGTTTCATCAGAGAAGTACACTACAGTTTCCTGACACTTCGTTTAGATGCTTGAAATTTCCTCTACAGGTTGAAGTAGGTTTTGCCTACTTATTAGCTGACAGCTGTTGAAGTTGCAAACAAGAGTTGAGTTTTGGTAAACCAAAAAAAAAAAAAAA